GGCGCGATGCACTGGTGTTTTGACGTTGCATTACGTACAACAAAAAATAGCCTACTCAGACCATTTTCAGGAGAGGGGTGTTTCATTATGACACAGGCTACATTTTACTCAAGCAACATGAAATAAAAAGCATTTTTTTTCCTCACTTTCAACAATTAATGGTGCTATTTTGGTTCAAAATAAAATATGGTAGGCTAAGTTCTAACCTTTGCTTATTTAGGATGAACATAATTATTGCTGGACTGCATGGGCCCCCCCTAGCGGCTGGGCTCTAGAAAATGTTCCCCTTTATCCCCCCTTTATGGACGGTCTTGAGCATATAGACATAATAATACATAGACGCCCTATTGGCCGCTTTGGAACGTTGCTGCGATACGTCAACGGGTCCGCCATTTTGCGGAGGGCAAGACTGCACTGTAATCTAATGCAAGTAAACGGTGAGCTGCGTTTTTTCTGGATAAAAACAAAAACTGTTTTTACATTTATCAACCGATTTCAGTGGTTTGTATGTGGTGTACAAAAAGTTCCATCTCTAGTTATTTAAAATCTCGATAGTTGTAAAATATTTTTTTTTAATAAAGAATGGTCAAAGCTCAGGCTGACAATTGTCATGCATCTGGCTTTTTATTCATGGATAAGAATGGTGAAGACCCCCATACTGAGATATAATTTAAGTTTTCTTATTGTGGAAAAAGCATTATCTGTGATTGACCAGATTTTAGCAATAACAAAGATAACTGATGGATCCTTTATGATAATACATTATGTTATGGTACAGTACAACTACAGTGCAGTGCAAATAGTAAATATAACATAAAATGAGAAGTAATAGTAAATAGTTTAGTCAATAAAATAAACAAATAGTATACAGCAAATAAAATAGTAATGAATAGTATAATTATATAATATCATAAGTACAATAATACAATCATAAAAATATTGATAATAGCATATAGTTTATTAATAATAGCAATAGAATAATAAATATCAATTACAGAATATACACAGTAAAAAATAAGTTAAATAGTGACTTATATTTAATATTGAACTCTTTTTGTTAAATTTCAGTTTTATTGATCATTAAATAGCCATTATAACAGAAGTAGCTTCAGTCAAACATACAGCAGGATACAACGTTAAAATAGCCTAAATATAAAGTTATGAAACTTCACTTTGCCCTCAGCCAAAACGATTTACCAGGGAACCATTTATAGATTAATGAGACCAAAGATCGCCCGTTAGATATACACAAAACGAATTATATCTCACGTTTAACCACTAGACTAGAGACATCCGAGCCAGCTGCAAACTTCAGAAGCACTGGCCGAGGTAGGGCTGTTCCAGGCGGGGTGCAGAGCGCTGGGCGCCCGGTGAACGGATCTTACAACTCCGAAAACGTCAGATAAAATTTTTAAATAGGCGCTATCTTTATAAACAAACCACATATTTGAGCTTTAAACAACTACATTGTCGACTGAAAAATTATTAAAACTACATTTCGTGACACAATAACAGTAGTATTTTTAAATTTATCCTCTGAACGTTACTATTACTAATTAAATCATGACCAAATACAACAAAAAACAAACGTTCAGTCTTGCTTGTGAAAGGTAATTCCTCGAAAGCTGTTTTCAATAGTGTGGCGATGTGTACAGCCCCAAGCAGCGCACAAAACAGGCATTTTTCTCAATTCAGAGGTATGGGAAAGTTCCCATCCCCAATATGGCGGCGCCGTTGACGTACGCTCCAGCGGCCAATAGGGCGTCTATGTATTTATTATGTCTATGGCCTTGAGGGTACGCGCGCTACACACAGCCTACGACGTAGCTTTGGCGTGAGTTCGACGCAGAAGTATAAATTGGACTTTAGAGTGCAGAGAGGAACGTGCTTTTGCTCCACTCCAGGCTTTGATCACATCCCCCTAAGCAGGGTGAACACATCGTCCTTCCTTAATTTAAGACCCATTCAAACTAAAATTAAGACATTTATTACACTATTTGAGAAATGTAAGCATATTTACGGCCTTAAAATTATGAAAAGTAAATTTAAGACATAAGGACAGGGGGCAACCCTCATATTGACGGAAATCTGTCGTATACTCTCTCATAGCGATGGAGATCTTTAATCCCTGTATATATATGAAGTGTATTACTGAATATAAAATTACATACATTATATATTAGTAAATATATTGTCTCGCATTTTTAAATATATAAAAATACCTTATGTATACAATACATTGTAATTAACACCATATATTATTCTGTATATTTTCAAATACACTCACCTAAAGGATTATTAGGAACACCATACTTATACTGTGTTTGACCCCCTTTCGCCTTCAGAACTGCCTTAATTCTATGTGGCATTGATTCAACAAGGTGCTGAAAGCATTCTTTAGAAATGTTGGCCCATATTGATAGGATAGCATCTTGCAGTTGATGGAGATTTGTGGGATGCACATCCAGGGCTCGAAGCTCCCGTTCCACCACATCCCAAAGATACTCTATTGGGTTGAGATCTGGTGACTGTGGGGGCCATTTTAATACAGTGAACTCATTGTCATGTTCAAGAAACCAATTTGAAATGATTCGAGCTTTGTGACATGGTGCATTATCCTGCTGGAAGTAGCCATCAGAGGATGGGTACATGGTGGCCATAAAGGGATGGACATGGTCAGAAACAATGCTCAGGTAGGCCGTTGCATTTAAACGATGCCCAATTGGCACTAAGGGGCCTCAAGTGTGCCAAGAAAACATCCCCCACACCATTACACCACCACCACCAGCCTGCACAGTGGTAACAAGGCATGATGGATCCATGTTCTCATTCTGTTTACACCAAATTCTGACTCTACCATCTGAATGTCTCAACAGAAATCGAGACTCATCAGACCAGGCAACATTTTTCCAGTCTTCAACTGTCCAATTTTGGTGAGCTCTTGCAAATTGTAGCCTGTTTTTCCTATTTGTAGTGGAGATGAGTGGTACCCGGTGGGGTCTTCTGCTGTTGTAGCCCATCCGCCTCAAGGTTGTGTGTGTTGTGGCTTCACAAATGCTTTGCTGCATACCTCGGTTGTAACGAGTGGTTATTTCACTCAAAGTTGCTCTTCTATCAGCTTGAATCAGTCGGCCCATTCTCCTCTGACCTCTAGCATCAACAAGGCATTTTCGCCCACAGGACTGCCGCATACTGGATGTTTTTCCCTTTTCACACCATTCTTTGTAAATACAGAGTTTTTATTTCTAATAAATTAATTCAGTGTTTTATGTACTGCTGAAGTAAGATCAATTTATGATGCCTAAAGCAATTAATGCTATAAAGGGACCTAATTTGACTTTGCAGAATATTGTTAATAATATAGGTGCAAATGTCTTGCTGGTTAGACTGCATCACATTACTAATGTTGATTAGTATTATAACTAATGCCTCATGGAATGAGGCGTCACACATGGTTTTATGTCTAACATCCCCAGATATGTGTCTGCGAATGCCAATTTGGCTCATTTTAAAACGGAAGTATCTGTTATTACCAGTAAAATGCATTACAACACTGGTAGTCATAACAAACCCATTACAATGAAAAGACTCTCAGGGAGTGGAATTGATGCACCAATATGATAACTGATTACTGATGAATTTTGTTCCTCTCCAGGAAAAGACTTGAATAATTTGAGGGAAATTATTGAAGGAAAATCCCTTTACATAAGCAGTGTTTGTTACAGGCAGAAATCAAGCTGAAGCTCTGCAGGTTTGCTGAATGCCTGTAGGTTTTTAGACATGTCTTGTGGGTGAAACGGCTTATTATTGTTTCTCTTTGTGTTGTTAACTGACATTTTGTGATTTTATTTTTTTATTTTTTGGTCACAATTTATGATGTTTAATTGATGTAATTCATTTTATTGATTAAAACCAAGATAATGAAAAAAGTGAATTCATGAGTCCTTATGCAATGTGGCAAACTTATCTTTAGACTAAAAAACCGGTTAGGCTGACAGCTGAACTCTGTTTACAACTGTGACAAACAAAAAACTGGAATCATCTTGCTGGTTAGGCTGACAGGCAGCTGAACTCTTTTTACAACTGTAACAAACTGGAATCTTCTTGGCAAGAGGAAAGAATGTACTTATCTGTTGAAGGTTGATGTACTGGATCAACAACTCTTGCACATTTACGCATTTTGTTTGACATCATAGACGCACCCTCAAAAACATATTTTAGAGTTCATGTATTACTAAGGTTTGAAGAGTTCATCAGCAGTAAAAACTTGATCAAATCGTTCTCGTACTTTCATCAGTAAGTGGCGTAAATGTATGGCTGGGGGCTGCATATACATGTGATTATTCTGAAGAATGACTTTATAAAAAAACGTTCTCTATATATTAATGTCACTATATGAAACACATTTTTTTTTTGATGGTGTTTATATGTCCAAACATTCATAATAAAGGTACCTATACATTGGGTAGGCATTATATGTTCCAGAGATTTTGATCCATTAAAATTCTGACTTTAAGAGCAAGTAAACTTTTTTAAAGCAGTCAAAACAATTGAAATTTTGTGAAATTTTATTACAATTTAAAATCGCTTTTATATTTGAATATTTTAAAATGTAATTTATTCCTGTGATTGCAAAGCTGAATTTTCAGCGTCATTACTCCAGTCTTCAGTGTCACATGATCTTTCAGAAATCATTCTGATATGCTGTTGAATAACAGTATTCATTTCTTTTCTTTCTTTTTTTTTATCTTACTGACCCTAAACATTTGAATGCTATTTTAAATAGATAATCATAAATGTATTACTATTACAATAAGTTCCCATTTTATAATGTGCAACTTCTGACAAAGGATAATGAATAACAATGTTCATGTTCTGTGAAAATGAATTGAAGTTGTTTATCCACTTCCTTTATAGTTTCCTCTTTGATTCAAATGTCTGTTCATGATTTCAGCTATTGCAATTTCACACTGTTAATCTTTTAAAAATGTGACAAAATGGTTCTTTTATACTTTATTTACAGAGTATCAAAATGAATACATTTTCAAAACTTCCTCAATTTACAAAACCATCTCATATTGTCACAAAAGCTATTTAAACAATAACCTGAAGATATTTCATAAAATAATATGTCAGTGCATTGATTGAAATTTTTTTTTATACAAAGGCAGGGTATGCAGCATGAAACATCTCAGCAAAAATATGTAACACGATCATAACAGCAAGTCTGAACAAAGTCAGATTCTTACAAATGCTTGCCAAGTGTAGATCAGAAGAGGTTAGTCCACAGTCTTTTACAACACATAGTAGAAGAAAAACTTTCCATTGTTGTCCATCTTTAGACACTGTGGTTTATTTTATATACCACTCATTTTTCCAGCATAAGAATTTGAGTTCAGATAGAGTTCAGGAGTCTTCGCACATAAACATCAACTATGATCTCTCTGAAACTGTGATAGTCAAAACAGCTTCAACTATGAAACTTGGTTCTGATCTTTACTACAAATCCAGGACATTGAGAAATGATAGTAAACAATCAATGACCCATGAGTCATTTTCATTACATCTCACATACAAGGTTTCACACTCTTCCTCCTATCGTTCTTTGTGCGTGTGAAGGCGGAGGTGGGTTTTGTAAGGTGTGTTCTCCATGAATGCCTTCCTGGTTATTTGATTACTCTTTTGCTTTTTCGTGAGTTTTCGCCTTTGTTCTTTCTAAGAAATGAATGAGAAGAATGAATCAGAAGAAAAGGAATGATTTCGTCAGCACTAGTTCTTAGGATCATGGTGATAATGCAGTCATTTGAGCTGTTATTGAAGCCTAAAGGAACTAGGCTGTTATTCCAGGTTTGAACCCAGGTAGCAGTGAAATCACAATACTGATTAATCCCCACTTCACCATAAGGCAAAACATTGTATCCCTGCTATTTTCAAGGGAAATGTATCTGGCATACAGAATTTCACGAACCTTCTGCAAAATGACAAACACCCAAGACTGGCAGTTCAAAAGGTCTTGATGGACAATGAAAGACTTTGGGAATCTCCAGACCTTCAAAGCCTGTTTTATAACTCTGGGTGACTTTGTAAATACTTGACGCAGAGGGAAACATGTTCTTTAGAGGATATCAGACTGTAACTTGTACATAGGTACTGAGAGATTTGGAGCAGAAGCTCTCATGTCCACGCTCAACCTGTAGGCTGGCTTAAATGTTGGCTTGACTTCAGATTTAAACTGCGGTTTAGACCCAGGTTTATACTCATTCTTAAAGTCTGGTTTAGACTCCGTCTTATAATGGGGTTTGCTGTCCAACTCATGCATAGGAAGGGTGCAGTTGGTGTCCTCGTCTCGGTATCGTCCATCAAGTGGTGTGCTACTTCTGTGGGGTCTCTTAAACTTGTTGGCACAGCGAATGACTCGTTTGGAGATCAGATAGATGATCTCACAGACACTGAGCACTATGCAGAGTGCCGAAGCTCCGACCATGAAGTAGGTGAAGACTCTTTTCTCTGTGGGTCGGCCAATGTAACAGTCCACAATGTTGGGACACGGCTGGACTTCACACTTCACCAGCCGTGGCAGGTAGAAACTGTCGTAGATGTGATGGAGGATGTACAAGAAGGTGATCTCGATGGCGGTCTTGACAAAAAGGCTGATCAGGTACGTCCACCACAGCCCACCGTGCTTCTTCCCCGTGTTGTCGTAGAGCTTGGCTTTAGCTCCATGCTTCACACAATACTTGCGTTCGCGCTCATCACGGTACTTCACGTGCATGACGACCATCAACGACGGACAAGTGACGAAGATGAGCTGCAGAGCCCACAGTCGGATGTGGGAAATGGGGAAGAAGTAGTCGTAGCAGACATTCGAGCAGCCCGGCTGCTTGGTGTTGCAGTCAAAGTCCTTCTGCTCATCGCCCCAAACTTTCTCGGCCGCTACAACGTAAACCATCACTCTGAACACAAAAACCACAGAGAGCCAGATCCGGCCGAACGCGGTGGAATATCTATTGACCCCACTGAGAAGGCCTTGAAAAGTCTTCCAGTCCATGGCTCAGAGCAAAGACAACTCACTCTTCTCTTCTCTGAATTCTTCCTCTGATCCTCTTCGACACTGAATCTGTCTGATAGAAAAAAACTGGAGGAAAAAAAATCACAATGAGTGAACTCATTCAAAACAACGTATTGTAATAAAAAGCAATATGGTGGGATAGTTCAAGCTAAAATTCTGTCATCATTTAGGCCTACTCGCCCTCACATTATTCCAACACACTAAGGGCATCTTTGCACAACAATGATGTCCTAAAAACTGAAAAAATGTCCTTTGCGTTTCTCGTGTACAGACAACAACGTTGTCAAAAACATCCCTGTTCACACGGATCCGGGGAAAAACAACTAAAAAACGCTATATTATTCATGCCAGGCCAGTAGTTGGCGATGTAAAGAAAAACTACGCGCCTGTAGTCTAAACATGTAGGCTACTTTTGAAATCGGGTTTCAAAGTGCAAGTTTTTGAAAACATTACTCTTTGTAAAGAACAAAAAACACACTTTTGTGAAAATGGTGGCATGCGTAGGCTATAATACGCATGCCACCATTTTCACAAAAGTGTGTTTTTTGTTCTTTACAAAGAGTCATGTTTTCAAACACGTGCACTTTGAAACCCGATTTCAAAAGTTTGCATTTTCAGGCCCCCAAAACGCAGTTGGCGTGTAAATAACCGGCCAAAACACATAAAAAGTTTTCCGGTTTTAGTTGAAAATGGTTTTGTGTAAACGGCCCCCAAAGGTAATTTTTTAAGAATATCAATGAATATCAACTCAATGATCTGATCTTCACTAGTGGGAGAATTAACAGTGAATAATGACTTAATTTTGAATCTGTTATTCACAGAATGCTATTGTATGACTTCAGAAGGCTAAGGCTACAGAGTAATGATACTTTTATGGTGTTCTTTTGTTATTTGGAAACTTGACAGACCCATAACATTTTTCTCTCAACCGAAAGAATGTGCTTTAACATTTGATGATATTTAAGTATGTAGTAGCTACACATGTGTTGAATCTGAGGCTGATATCTATTGTTGTTGTTTTTTTGTTTTTTTAGTCAAAGTAAAACGAGTGCCGCTCTCTTTCTTGCTACTTTATGTCCAGAATTTCTATGCTATGGCTGTCGGCGGTTTTCGTTTTTAATTGTCATTCGCGGTTTTGTAACACTGATTATAACAATATTTAGTTTTGTAAAGGCAGGCATATTTATTATAATAAGATAATTATAACAGCGCTTCTAAAGATAGATTTCAGTTAAAACATTCAACCGACTAAAATCGTAAGCGAAAGTTTAATTGCTATAGGCCTACTTTTAAAAAGTTCAACCTCTTTGCCTTCAATTCCAGATGAATAAAATCGCTTTGATCAAGCAGAAATGACATATCAAGGTAAATGAACGGAAACGAGGAAATTATAGTGATGAAAACATTTTTAGCGCAGATGATTGTCATTTGAACAAATTGCACAAAAACAAAGTTTACTACTTACGTTGGGTGTTTCAGTTCTCTTATAATTCAACTGCTGTTAAACTCTTCTCTTCTCTTTCTTCCTTGTGGATCTGGTTTAGTTAACACGCCTCACTGAGGGTGGAGTTCAGTATCCAGACTAGAGGACACTGTATAATAAACCTCTTACTTTAAAGACATAGTATGCTAATTAAATACATAGCATATAATGTGTGTGTGTGTGTGTGTGTGTGTGTGTGTGTGTGTGTGTGTGTGTGTGTAAAATGCTCGTAAAATCATCATGCATTCCCGTGTATTATCTTAAATGTCCAATGTGGGGAACAAAGCATTGTTCTTACTCTTAAGTTACAGTGTCTAAATTTACTTGGTAATATGACTCCATAAAGGTTTTGTTGTTGTTTTGGATAGCCCTACTGTTAACATGATGATACTGCATTGTGTTTTTGTGGCGACAAATAGGAAACCCTTGCCTGTGAAGCCTAGTAACATTTTCCATCTTATTGCTCAATAAATAAGACTCCCTTTGTTTGGACAGCTCTGTCAACCAAACACTGTTTGTTAGTGGTTTGTGGAGTTGCCAACGTCTGCAGGCTTCTCTATGTTCAAACTTGTCCATGAATGTCTGTGCTCCCTAGTCACGTAAAGGACCACACCTCGTCCTGAACAATAGCTTTAAATGCCTTTTTATTGCCTAGAAACTTGTGCAGTGGGTCTCTGGAGGCATACTTTTAATATTTTTTCAGACACCCTTTTAGTGTCGTGCTGAGAATACGGTATACTAATTATCTTGGGTAATTATTGTTTATGTATTCCAAGCAACTCTTGCATTAGGTCTATGGCAAATCCTTGGCAAAAGCCCTTCATTTGGTTTGGATGTGAGTTTATTTATAGTTTTAGCTGGTGGCGGGAGCCTAATGGTTAAGGATTTGGGATGGTAATACAAAAGACTGCAGGTTTGATTCCAAGAAAGCCAGAAGTTGAGTTTTCCACAGGAAAAGTCTCTGTGGTTTTGTCATCAAAGCAAAGAGAAATTCTGTTCGGTCACACGTGTGAAGCCCTCTGACTCACTGCTAAAACATCCACAAGACGATGATTCATTCTCTGCTTTGGGCATAAAATAAGCTCTAGTTAAAAAAAAAAAAAACTATCTATAAGTTTCTTACAGGACTGCCAGTCTTCCTTTTAATGTGTTTTCAAAGTATTAAAGGAAATCATGCCTGCTTTGAGTTATTCAGGCCATGTGAGCTGTCCGAACTTGTTTGTTCAGCAAGAGGAAACATTATGAAACATTGCAGAAGAAACACTGAACCAGATCGGTCAGGTCTGTTTTAAAGTTTTTCAAATGGTTTACACTTCTTGTTTATGTGGGGAAATGATTAACCTCGTTTGGATTTGCATTTGTATATGGAATTGAACCTCTAAATTGGATTTTTACCAACAAAAACATTAGTTAAACATGCACCAAGCTTGCTAAGTGCATATACAGATTATGTATGGTTAGCAAATGTTGGTATTTATGAATTAAAGCATTAACGATGATGAAAAGAGATGGAGGAAGTAAAGCAAGAGCACAGTCAACAGGGAGTGGAATGTCGGTTGTGTTAAAAAAGGAAAGAGACTCGTTGGATCGGTTTCTACGCCTTACAAAACCTGCTTCAACATGAAGTTAACTACATCTACCCTTTCACTGTACAGAGGTTATGAAGATATCAAGAATAATAGAGAGAGACAGGCTGAGGTACACTGGTAGTGAAACAGGGAGGGACATTTTTTTTGTCTTGGGGTAATGTTATCTACTAAAAGGTGTGGATACTGAATGGTGTTAGCGGAATACAGTTGAAATACAATCTAGTTACAAAACGGCCTTAAGATTCATTTAAGAAAAGTGGTTTGTTATTCCACAGTGTGACAGGCATTTGCAAAATCTCTCTCTCTCTCTCTCTATATATATATATATATACACACACACACACACAACATCTCTCAATTGGCCATTTCTGGCTTTAGATTTGAAAATGTATATATGAAGAATTATATTTTCCTTGAAAGTACATTAAAAATTAAACTAGATTTCTTTCTCATTCTGTCTTGCCATTTTGCAGCTTGATGCAGAAAATGAAATGTCATGTCGACACAGCACATGATGTTTATCTCTGTGTATTTTCATACTTGACATTTTTTTGCTCCACAGCACACTCACAAGCAGAACAACTGGTTATAAAAGTTAAATCAAATCTGCAAACAGCAAAGTCACAGCTTTCATCTGCATCCTCTAAAGTCAGACATCACTGATTTAAATGGGCAACAGATTGTAAGAAAATAAAAAGCAGATTTTAATGTATCTCAAATGTAAACAACTCTAAACACAGCAATGAGGAAAGAATCCTGAAAGGTTACCATACAAACAGAGGAACCTCAGAGAATGTTTACTTTTATGGATACATGTTCTCATTGAATGAAGAACTCTCTCTCACACACACACACAGGCTAAACAGCCTCTTTTGAATTTGCTCATCTTGGCAGTGTTGAAAGTCTTTATCAATAAATTCTTGAAATTTTAAATACTGCAAATTCTTGGAAGACATTAGATTGAAGCACCACAGTTTATGCACACATTAGCATAAACACACACACACACACACACCAGCTAATATACAAAAAAACCTCAGCAAAAATTACAAAATATTGAATAGTAATAATAAAAAATAAAATGCACAAATTTGTAAACAAATTTACATTCAAATTTAAGTATAAATTAGGGCTCACTTTCTAGGTTTACAAAATAATGGATTTGGGGATGTATTTGTAAAAATGTGTTGAGTTTAACAGCATGTGCTTTATGTGATGACTGTAAATAGATGGAGAAGAAATGTAGACATGCTGTTCTTACATCCAACAGAATAAATACATTTTACAAGTAAAAGCCGATTGAAGATAATTATGGAAGCCTGTTTCCGCCTCAAAGAAAGAAATAGAAAAGGTAATTATGAGATGAGTTTAAACTAAAATAAGAAATAAGGCCACATTGTGACATATAAAGTCACACTGTGAGTCAGAATTCTGATATTCAAAGGGATAGTCAACTCAAAAATTTAAATTTATAAAAATGCGGTGATCATTTACTCACTGCCATGTCATTCTAAACCTGTCTGACTTTCTTTCTTCTGTGGAACACAAAAGAAGTAAAAAAAAAAAAAAAAATCCTCAGTGTTTTTTGTTCATACAATGGAAGTCAAAGGGGTGCAATGTTGTTTTGGATCCCATTTACCTTCATTATATGGACAAAAACATTTAAAACCTTCTTCTGAAGTCTTTTATATTCTACAGAAGAAAGAAAGTCAAATGGGTTCAGAATGACAGGAGGGTGAGTAAATGATGACAGATTTTTCAAATTGTGAAATATTAAGATGGAAACAGGTTTTCATAGATAATGGCCTTTTTTGTTTCCTGCACACAAAAAAATTAGTACAATCGAACAATTATTAAAATATGTGAACGGAAGAGTTCTTTAGCATCATTTGCAGTCACGTTTTGCTTGTTAGTGTCAATTTAAAAACTGGCAAATATGTAGTATTTAATAGTAATTATCTGGTCTTATACCAAGTGTTTTGTATTTGTTATTTGATCAAAGTGCCCGTTGGTGTTCTGGAGCTTGGCCTAACAGAAGCCACACCACACCCAAAACCCTGAACTGACTTGCTTAAGTCAGACTAAAGACAGTGTCATCCTGAATGATGGCGTTTTTCAAATATACAATGTTTTTTATCAGGCCACAACTTTTTTTTCCAGCAAAAAGATCCAGTGGATATAGTGTAAGCATACAAGCAGCTTCCTCTATTGCCAACCGTCCATTGAGTCAGTCTGGTTCGAGTTCACATCGTGGTGAACGTGAAGAACATTTTCCATCTCTTGGAGTCCCACATTGGGCCAAAGTTTTTTTTTTTTTTCATGTTTTCTTTAGGATGAGATGACCACACTGTATGCTGGCGCTGGCTGGTCATTCCTCACCAGTTTCTTGCTGTTTGTCTCTAAAAGAGTATTTGAGCCCCTCATGTTTGCAATGGACCTTGCCTTGTTTACCTGCCGTGACCCTTGCACCCTGTGGACACACTCAAAGCAGCGTTTGCCCACCAGGTAGAGTGTCTCGATGAGCGAGAGCAGGATGCACACCAGACTTGACACCACCATGAAGATGGTGAATATTCGTTTCTCTGTGGGCCGAGAGATGAAGCAGTCGACCACATTGGGGCAGGGAGACTCAGAACACTTCACCATGGTGGGGAAGTCATAGCCCTCATAGATGTGATATAGCAGATACACGAAGGTCACATCCACTCCTATCTTAAATACCAGCGAGAGGACGTACGTCCACCAAAGACCACCGCGCTTCTTTCCGGTGTTGATGTACAACCGCTGACAGTCGTCACCGTATTTCAGGCAGTGCTTGCGTTCACGTTCGTCACGGTACGCCACATGCAGGACCACGAGGAATGACGGGCAGGTGACGAAGATGAGCTGCAGCGCCCACAGTCGTATGTGGGACACCGGGAAGAAGTGGTCGTAGCAGACGTTGTGGCAGCCAGGCTGAGCAGTGTTACATGCAAAGTCTTTCTGCTCGTCGCCCCACACCTTCTCTGCAGCAACAACGAAGACCATGATCCTGAAAAGGAAGACTATGGACAGCCAGACCCGACCGAAAGCGGTGGAGTACTTGTTGACCCCGCTCAAGAGATCCTGAAGAAAAGCCCAATTCATGGCACCTGCGAGCGATCAGGTTATCTCACCTGAATACCTTTCACCTGGAAGGGAGGGGTGCAGAGAGAGAGAGAGAAAGAGAGAGAGTTAGACAAAACATCTCAAAGAAACTTGCCATTATCACACATTACAATTTATTTGGGTAGTTTTTGTTATATAATGTTAAACTACACATCATCTGTAATAATTCAAAATTTGCTATTAAAGCAGGGGGTATTTCATCTTTTAGAAAGTTATATTTAAACAAGTTATATTGAATGCAACTGAGTGTTGAATTTGAAGGCAGGCTTATAATTACAAGCAGTACCTTATTAATACATTTACTTATTTTATGTCGCTTTTAAAATAATTGCTAGTGATGTACAGTCATTTATATTACTATATAATGATACTACATCTGAATGAAGGAGGCGCATAAGCATTTATCTAAACTTTCACTTAAGCAGCGTTTGCCCACCAAAAAAAGTTCACTTAACACTGCATGCTTTATTTCTTTTATCATAAAATGAGTTATGATCAAACAATTATAAGAATAAACAAGACAATGGTAAAAAGAAAAATCCCCTTGTGTTTCACTATTCAGGCAAGTAGTTTAGAAATGCCTTTATATTTCCACTTTATAGGATGTTAAACGAAAAAAATAGAGACGGGTATTATTTTAAACTGGCGAGTCGGTTCACAAATAGGCTATGTATCTACAAAAGCCATCTACAAAAGTTTTTGACTGTTTAAAAAAAACTTACGGAATGTGTAGATGAGACTTGATAATCTCTATATATGAACACCAAATGTATTAGTAAAACCAACGGAGGATTATTTAGTGTATAGCCTACTTACAGTCTGAGAATTCACAGTCGTCTTCACTGTAGTCGCAGCGCCGTGATTGTGTTGTATGTACAGGGTCGGGCTGGCGAGCTGCGGGCGTTAAACCAAACACAACCGTAAAGGCAAGCGTGTGATGAAGTGTACACATCGACGCCACCTAGTGGAGAACTCCTTGAGCGACGCTTTGATCCCACCAACTGATGTGTCTCAAAAAAACAAAAAGTAATAATATATTTAAAAGAAAAAGTAATAATATATTTAATAATATTTGTAATACATTTATATTCTAGACTCATCATAACGTAGCCTAAACTAAGATGTTTCAAGCAACATTTTTATTTTCAATGTCGATACGGCCAAGAGTCTCAAAATATTAAAATATTTCATTTTAAGTTTGATGATAACATTAACATACAGTAGGGTAGGATGGGGGAAGAGGCCCCTCTTAAGAACAATCTGGATTTACTTTTAAATTGTAACATATTGAGATATGTTTAGCATGTGCATGATGATGATGCGTCAGCTATTGTGACATTTGACATTTAGTTAGTACAACATTTCAAATATTAAAGAGGGGTAAGATGGGGTAAAATCTTACCCCAAGGGTCTAATTTTATATTTTTTTCTTCAAAATAAAAACTATAACTTTTACCCCACAAATCTAAAAACATCAGTGTGTCCACAAATAAAAAAACGTTGATATTCAACATGATACAATGTTATAAATCCCTATTCTTCAGAGACACAAAATTAGACCAATTAACCTCAACTGTTTCAGATGAAATGACAAAATTAAAAATAAAAATTTTGCGCCATCTATGGTCAGGAGAAAACAGTAAGGTGTGTGTAAATGTACCTGATATAAAATACCAGTATCTTTAGTTCTAGTTTAGCACATGCAACCACACTCATGGGGAAGACTGCTGACTTGACAGTTGTCCAGAAGACGATCATCGCCAAGCATATTCATGGAAAGTTGATTGGAAGGAAGAAGTGTGGCAGGAAAGGTGCACAAGTAACAGGGATGATAGCAGCCTTGAGAAGACTGTCAAGCAGAGTGGACTGGAGCTGGAATCAGTGCATCAAGAGCCACCACACACAGACGTCTTCAGGAAATGCCCTACAACCGTCACATTCATAGAACCAAGCCACTCCTGAACCAGTCAGAAGCGTCTAACCTGGACTAGAAGAAATAACTAGACTGTTGCACAGTGGTCCAAAATCCTCTTTTAAGATGGAAGTAAATTTTGCATTTCTTTTGGAAATCAAGGTCCCAGAGTCTGGAGAAAGAGTGGAGATGCCCAGAATCCTCCAGTAGCACCTCATTGCAGTACACTAGACACAGGGGGCGGAGTTGGATCCAGATCTAAGGGGTGGAGATGGGTAGGATTAGGGGTGGGGTTAGGGATCAGGGGGCGGAGATGGTATAGGTTTAGGTAGCCTATATGTAACGTGGGAGGAGTTGGATCTGGATCCAACTCCTCCCCCTTGATTTCGTGTTCGGCAGTGAGGACCTTGAACATTTCTGTATTGTAAATCATTTGATTGATCTTAGGACATATTCTAATATTTCGCTATACTGGATTTTTGATGAGCTGGAAGCTGTAATCATCCAAATAAAAAAATGCTAGAAATATTTTTCTTTACATGCAATAAATCTAAAATATATGAAAGTTTCACTTGTATTAAATTACCAACAAAAAAAATGAACTTCATATTCAAACCTTTTTTAGATGTACCTATACACAGAGCACCTGAGAAGAGCAACTGTATCCTAAAAACTGTAAATCACTTGTGCTGACTAGATAAAAACCATTATTGACCCAATAATTTCTTTTGGTAATGACCCAGGAATTTTCATCTTTTACATATTTTTTCAGTCATTTTTGACTACTGAATAAGCATTTATAAAAAACTATTAACATAGATTGCAATAACAAACAGAAATTTATAGCTGATGAAATCGTTTAGAGCAAAGCATAAAATTTTACAAATTCCCATTACTTTTGTAGAGCTAGAGAAATAATATATATGTATTTATTTACATGCATACAGACAGTCTTCAGGTTGATACATTTCACATCATTGCTGTCATTTAGAGCTGAGATGAGATGAAATGAATCCAAACAAGAGATGAGAACAAAGCTGTATTTATTTCATTTAAACTGTACAACAGTCGCCGATATATTGTTTGCATGAAAGGTTTTGGTTGACGCTAACTGCAACCACTGTATAATTAACGTACAACGCCTCTGGTTTTGTGTTTTTTTATATTCATGTTGTAATGGGAGAGGTTCACATTTTTTGTTCTCAAGACCAAGAACTGGGTTATGACTGCAGAGGGTGTAAAAAACCTCATCTGAAATCACACACAGGACACAGAAATCAAACATGAGAAATGACCGTGACAGAGAGAGCAATGACGACAGATAAATCAAGGATGTGAACAGAGGACAAATGTTGATGAGCATAATCATGATAAGCTCATATGCTCGGACCACCGGGACATCGGACGTCTGTTTAAGGATGCAATCGAGCAGGGGGATCGAGGGGGATTTGGTTTGGGAAACCCACAGTATCCCATTGTAGCTGGGCAACAAAACAGAGGCAGTTAGGAGGTCACAGGAAAAGTGACACGAATGGACCTCAAATGTGTGTGCTCTCTCTCCACGAGGAGCTGTCAGTCACCCAGACTGAGGGTCACATGCCCTTTATGACTGTTCTGAGAAAGACAACCACAAGTCCAGGCTGCATTGGCTATCGGAATTCTATAAAACATAACCTTTTGTTTCGTTACAATAAAATTCAACAAAATGAAAAATAAAATGAAATCATATATAAATGCAAGGGTGCTTTTTTGGGGGGGTATTATTCCTCTTCGCTTTCATTTTCAGGGTCCAGATCTGAATCACCATTTGCTTTTGATTCATCTTTCATATCTTCCTCTTCATCCTCCTCTTTGTGGTTCTTTTTGTCTTCTGTCAATTCCATTGCCGTCTCATCCTCCTCCCAGTTCTGAAAAGACAAGTCAACATGAGAGCAATCCCATAATGCCACTCTCCAAACACCCCAGAAGGAAAACCTGTGAGAGAGCATCTTACATCAGAGTCATCCTCAGGACGCCCTTCATCTCCTGAACCTTCATCCTCATCTGAAGACTCTAGAAAAAAAGGAAGTGTTTATTTATTTTTGCCATGTCAATATTCAATGCCATTTTGATGGTTAAATCAGTCGAAATGGGTACACTAATAACACTTAAAAAGGAATTAAGATTAAACTGAATACACAGAATGATAAAATATATTAAGATATTTTAGTCAGCTACTCAATAGAGGGTATGCGCATGACATCACCGTTGACCGGAATGACTGCAATTTTGCCAACTGAGTGGCAAAAAGACTGAGCAGCAGCAGTGTTTCCCCTATCATTGTTTTGGGGGGGCAGCCCGCCCCCCCAAAACGACCCCCCGCCCCCCTAAATTGCTGACGAAATCCAGTCATAAAAAGAAATTTACTGTATAACGCGGAATTTCGTGGAATTTGTCGACCTTTTGAGTAATAAATAGAAAGCAGTTCAGTATACACTTGAAATCAAATCGCGATGTAGACAAGTGTGTGTGGATATTAAACCACAAAGACAATTTAAATACGAATCCTGCTTGTTCTGTGTGAATGAATGGTGCAGCCGACGCGCAGTTTCATTTACCACACACACACACACACACTGAAGCACGTGTGACGCTTGCGCTGTTTTTTGCCTATATGAAGACACAAATGCATAAACTTCCTCTCCAGGCTCTAGATCCACTCCGAAAGTCACTTCGTGATCATTTAACCGCTTCATTTGAGAAAAACTATCATCATGACATAAACACACAAACTCAAAAGGTCTTCACGGCAACCCGTCAAAATAAAAGTTCGGTTTAACTTGACAGAAATATAACCGTTGTACAGTAGAATTTAAATATGTCCCAATGTAATAATACTAACACTAATCCAAATAAATTATCATCAAAACTGAATTTAAGGAATAATCCATGTTTTAATTTTAACAGTAAAGCTCATTGTGCAGCACGTTATTTGACAAAAAGTTTATTTAATTTCATATGATTAAAATTGATGATAAATGATAAAATTTGTGTTTTATGTCTTCATTTTATTACCAGAAAAAACACAACACAGAATTAGTGTGAAATTTTTTCATATTTTTTTTTTAAATGTTGTATACGTTTAATGATTCATAATACACTATTTCAATTAATTAGACATGCTTTTTGATTGCTAAAAAATTTACAACACGTATCCGTAACGCCCGCTCCGCAACACTAGCAGTCCCCCCCCTGAAAAAAAATCCTAGGGGAAACACTGAGCAGCATTGGTTTTCAGCGTGAATGCTGCGAAAAACACAAACCACATCTAAACCAGGAAAGAGCTTTGACAATTGACTGTATAAATAGATTAGACACAAAATCTGAGGTATTTTACAGACTGCCGAAAGCTACTGAAAAAAGCAAATGGATCAATGCAATTCACAGAAACAACTGGACTGCAACTGGACTAAATATTTATCATCTTATACTCCGCATAATTGGATGCTTTTAAATAAATACTGGGTGAAAAAAAAAACGACACAAGTTTTAGAGCTGGACAACATAATGTATATAACATTGATATAAGCGATCACCCAGACTTAGACCTACATATATTAACAAAGCGTTCACAGACAAATTTGTTTTATTTCCCCAGTGTCAAAATCAGGCACATATAAATGTCAGGAAACAATTCCTGGCTGCATGGCAATATCCATGGATCACTGAATCCTGGGTAAGTTGTAAGGAACACTATATCGAGTCCAACCTTTAGTTTAAACTGATAATCATACGTTTTCGCTGTTTCCCCTATAAATTGCAGTCACACAGCTGTTCTTTTGTCACTCAGTCCAGCTGAGGGCCGTGTTCCGGTGGGAAAGTGATGTCAATGCATACCCTCTATTAGTCTTGATTAAACTACTAATCAAGAACTATTTAAACTTCTTAAGTGATTAAACTACAATTTTATTGGTTCATTATATTTGAGTGTATTTTATTACAAAAACAAACTGCTAATGGTTACTAAAAAATAAAAGAGCTCATTACCTTCTTCATAAACCAGTTTTGCTGTGCGATCGACATCAGTTTTCTGAGAGCTGGTGCTGGTCGCCACCTAGTGGAAAAATATGCAAAAGTGAGAAAAATTTGTGTTTTCCTTCTCAGGTGAACTATCCCTTTAAGCCATTTGTTCTGGTTGCTTGTGTTTGAGCAGCTCACCTGTGACATAAGCAGGAACAATTTGCCATGAAGCCTGCTGAGTTGATGATATAACTTTACCCTGCTCTCAATCATATGGTAGATCAAGCCCAACTGAGACACTAGATCCGGCAGCTATGGGGCACAACAAGACGAACAGATCAAATGAGGAACCCCCCAAAAATGTGAGAAATATTATCTACCGTGGATACAAGACTAAATAAGCACTGGCTCAACCATTAAGATCTGGATTATGCAAATCTATTTGACAGGTATAGATGTACACACACACTTACCGAAGACAAGTATGATGCGTGTTGTGTAAGTACAGCCTTAAACCACTGAACTATAAGCAAGGCCCTGCACACAGTAAAAGAATCATGTTACAAAAAGTTGAATGCCTTAAAAACCTTAAAAAGAACCAAAAGTAAAAATATACTCACGCGAACGGATGCCCCTGCAGTCTTCTGGACAGCTAAAGAAACAACCATAAAATAATTTAAATGTATATAATATACACTAATCAAAAGTTTAGGGGTCTTTTTTTAAGATTTTTGTAGTTTGTTTAAATACCTAATACTATTTAACAGTGTCGACGACATACCTCTTCCAGCAATGGCAGGATAGCTGGGGGTGGTAACCGGGAAACAGTGTTCTTTATCAATATCTCTTTTTTGGTTTGAAATATTTTCTGTTAGAATGAATCAAATCAGAATGAGAACATGAACAGCGGTCATTGACAAAGGGCCTATGAACAGACAACAATCTGAGTGTTAATTACATTAAGGATCTTCTCGTCTTTGCTCTCTAGGCCTTGAACAAGCAGTACAGCAAAGCTGTCCGTCTGCAGGGAGGACGAGCCTTTAGCAGCACCCTTCCTGCCGCCACTCAACTCAATCTGCTCCAACCGCTCCTCGATAGACAACTAGAGTAGGATGGAGAGGTTTTTTCATATATTCAATTGAAGGAATTCCTTAATTTAATTCTTGGGTGATATAATTTAAGCATTTTACACAAATTGTCTGGAGTCTTACCTCTGTGGTACTGGCCTCTTTTTTCCTTTTCTCTGCTTCATTGGGAGTTAATTTGATTGGTGCTTTGTGTCCTGTTAGTCCTGGCATTAAAACTTTGCTCTTTTGATTAACAACTGGTGTCTTCACCTAGAAGATGATGTTCAAATTAATGCACAGTCAAACCGTTTTAAACCATTACCGTACCAGTGTTACAGAGGAAATGGGTAGTTGATTTAGTAATTTGACCATGAACTTATTTAACAATTTGATTTGAGGTTTTATTTTTCTTTACATATACACTACTGTTCAAAAGTTTGGGTTCAGGAACTTCTCTTTAAAAAAATAACAGTTTTATTCAAAGATGCATTAGTTTGAGTGACAGTAAAGACATTTACATTGTTACATAAGATTTCCCTTTCAAGTAAATGCTGTTTTTTTAAATTTCTATTCAAAGAATCTTGAAAAAAAAATGCATCCATTTCCAAAAAAATTACTGTTTTTAACACAGATAATAACAGTAAGAAATGTTTCTTGAGCAGCAAATCAGCAAAATAAAAAGATTTCTGAAGGATCATGTGACACTGGGGACTGGAGTAATGGCTGCTGAAAAGGGAGCTTTTAAATGATTAAAATGATTATATTTTAAAAGAACTATTTTTGATTAAACAAACACAGCCTTAGTGAGTATGAGACTTTTCCTTTTAAATCTTGTCGACTTTGAACTGTAGTGTACATTCATATGCTGTAACCGGATACCATTTCTTCTAAATCAGGGGTGTCCAATCCTGCTCCTGGAGCGCCACTGTCCAGCAAAGTTTAACTTTAACTCCAACTAAACACACCTGAACCAGCTAATCAAGGTTTTTCTAGGCATACTAGAAACTTCAGGCAGGTGAGTTGAGGCAAGTTAGAGCTAAGGCCCTCCAGGACCGAGATTGGACACCCCTGTTCAAAATATTTTAAAATCACCCTTTTCTTTCTTTCTTTCTTTTTGCGGTTCACTTAAATTGTTCTGCAGTGTGACAAATGTTACAAATATCTCAGGTAGACAGATTAAAGACAGGAATGTGTAATTATACAGAATCAGAAACAAAGCAGTTTTTAACCCTTTCAAATGCGAGTTTAAAATGTTCTAGCTAAGCCCCCAGAGTTAACGTATCATCTTATTTCCATGGCGCCGCGTCATGATTGTCACGAGACACTGCAGCCACAATAGCGCTGTATGACAGATGTATCGCTTTTATTCCCTTTTTCCCTCAGAATATTCACAAACCTGTAAGCCATTTTATCACCTACCTGATATTCTGATTCTCAAATACGTGCAAGTAAATGTATTTTGTCATTTAAAAACCTTTATAAGGATCATTTTAGTTGATCTATAACGAGCGATGGGCACCGCCATGTTAATTTGTGCCACAATTCAGAGAATCGGATGGGTCAGATTTACAACACGTAAATTCATCCACTTCTCCAGAAATACATGAAAGTAAGTGGCTGGTGAAGTGGGAGAATAATAGTAAACGTTATAGTTTCCTACAGGGTTCGTACACCTTTTCCAAGGTGAAATTCAAGCACTTTTCAAGCAAGTTCAAGGTCTATTTTAAAGCTTTTTCCAGCACCTTACGCCACCGTAAATTACATACCAATGCATAGTCACAAAATTATTATTTAGTGTTTTTATCACATTAAAAGAGATAATGCAATAAACAGCCAAAATGGTGTTTTGTAATAGCAGAAGGATCAGATATTTAAGCAAATCATAAGCTTTATTTTTCAAAATGTATCACTAAGTAGATAATGCTTATGAATAATACTTTTCAACTTTTTAATAATTCCATTTTAACCTAGAAGACTCAGAAAATAAATAAACTGTCTGCACACTTGAATCCTTTAAAGCAATTTTAATCGCCAAGCTTTCGGTCACAAGACCATCCTCAGGGCATGTAACCTAGAAGACTCTGACAGTGCACAGACACCTGCCTGATAAATAATTTACATTGCCAAGCCTACATTTATCTACTGGAATAGAGCAGTGTAAATATTGTGCAGTGTAAACAACCTTACAGTTGGCTACTTGTATGTAATGCACTGGGCAAACGTTTGCAGGTTTTAATTTGCGGGTAGTTAACGTTACAGTTACTGTGCTGTAACTTTGGCTATGTTCACTGCATATTCCACAAATGAAGGTGCCATAACGAACATGCAATACTAACATTACGTTATCACACCAAGTACTCTGTCACTAATGGCCCTTTCAGACAGAATATGGAATGCGCTGCGCTAAGAAACCCATTTATTTCAATGGCTTGCGCCGCGCGAGGATGTTTTGTTGCTGCGTCGACCAAAGCGGAGCGCAGCATAGGCGAGCTTGCACGCACGCTGCGGTCAAAGTAAGAATAGTTCAACTTTTGCCACTGCGCTCTGTGACGATTACTCGCGCGTCAAATAAAAACGGGGTATCCAAACAAGCGCGGAAACCGAAATGAAAATTCCGCCTACTTTTGCTCTGGGCAGTGTAGCGCAAATCACTCTGTATCTGAAGGGCTACATTTTATTTCTCTATTTAATAAACAAACTATTCAGTCAGATAGGTATTTGTTGTGAAAGAAAGTGTTAAAATTAAGCATAATCAAATTTAAGCACTTTTCAAACACAACATCAACAGGGACCAGCCAAGACCGATCACACCAGTGTGCTCGTTAGGGATGGGAGATATGGACTAAAAATGATAATCACAATATTTGTGCAAGTCGGGCACCTCACACTAGTGTTTACTGTGCGTCAAATACACTGTGCATTCATTGAGATGAACTGAAATAGTGCGCTTTACAGACCGCTTGACGGAGAGTGAAACTCAAACGCTCAGTCAGTGATCGGCGAGAGAAAATATATCTGTGTACCTACTAGGGCTGGGCGGTATGACGGTATATATCGTTACCGCGGTAGAAAATGTCAACCGTAACAGATTTTTTTATTCCGTGTATACCGCGACATGCAAATAAGTGGGCGTGGTTAACTCGCGTGCAACGTGCCTGAGACTGAAACACAGCGAATTGTAAAAAGAAACGCGTAGAAAGCAGATCAAGAGGATCCACAAAGGAATTACATTTTCTAAAGGGTTGTTGTTGTTGTTGTTAACGTGATATTTTCGGGGGGAAAGGCGCAGGCAGTCACTATAGAGCAGTGCAGCACCCAGGCTACAGATAGAGGAGTGCACGCTCGCAACGGGGAAAGCTGGACAACAACAGTTCATATATCAATATCGTAACGAATAGAAATAACCTTAAATAATGCATAGTTATCTGCATCTTTCCTTCTCTTATGTATAGTTTTTAAACACGCAAACAGTTTGCCGCCCGTGGTAATGAACATCCTGCTTGTTAAAGTGAATGTATAATCCTGTAGCCTATCTGAGGCAAAATTACTAAATATGCATTGCGAGTTATATATTTCTAACTCCAAACAATTGGCCACCGAACCAGCTGATAAAATCTTCCTTTGATTCGAAACGTGATTACAATTTGACACTCAAATTAACCGATCGCATTTTACTGATGCAGAAGACGCGCGCGTGCACACGCACTGAGTCTGAGGGAGCGCGGTGTTCACCGGGCTATGCTCAAATAATGACGCAGTTACAAGGTGTGTATAATTTAATCTAGGCTACTTTGTCAACACTAACAGTAGCTGCTGTTCGGTTTTCAAACTGCTGCTCTCCTTCTAGTCACTTCTGAACTTCTATTGATTAAAGCGCAGGGTGACAGGTTGCCAGATATCACAAAAAGAGCAAAACAAGCCCCTTAAAAACGCAGTGCAGCCTAAGCAGACATGGCAAAATGTACCGGGGAACACATTTAAACATAACTAGTATTACTATCCTACAAAATTAAAAGGAAATAACTAATTTATCATGAATAGAATAGTTCAATATAAAATATTCAGAAACTGATTGATGAAGTAAAGCATAACATGAGATTGAAAAATTATTCAGAAACACTTTGTTTAAAGTTTAATTGCACCTATGATTTGTATTTAATATCAATCAGTTGGGGGCAGTTCATCTAAAAGTTGATGAGTGTGTTTTGTTTATATTTAGCTATCTAAATAGTTTACCAAAGAAATAATTTATCAAATAAGAGAAACAGAAAACAATGTGAAGTACTTTTCATTTCTAAAGTATTTGGGTTTATTTATTATACAAAGCCCTTTTTGTCGATTTTTCTACATATATAAATAACTATATCGTGAAATATATCGTTACCGTGAAATAAAATTAGTCATACCGTGAAATAGAATTTTGGTCATACCGCCCACCCCTAGTACCTACCAGTCCCATATATTAGAGGTAGTTCCTCGTTTAGCGATAAACTCCGCCTCAGCTTCACGTAGGGGTGGGCGATTTGGCAAAAATATCATATGACGATTTTATCACGATTCTTTTTCATGTTGGTTTTACTATTTTGCAAGTGACTCTGCATTACAGCCAAACTAATGTCCCTATTTTAAAAACAAAGCCTTATAGGTAACAAAATATAAAATAAAAAAAGAATGGCAGACATTTAGGCCAAAGTGGTGAAGATAAAAATCTTGTGTACACATACACAACTTAATATACAAATGAAATAAACAGTGCTTTATTTTTTCAGCTACAGTAGGTGTATTTAACAGTAGCATTGAAGAAAGTAATTAGGCTAAATGAACAAATATGAAAATAAAACACAACATAGACTTCACTTTATAAATTATACATTTATTCTTATTAAAGCTACTATTAAAGTTCTCAGTCAAGAGTAATGTTGTTTTATTAACATTAAAGGGGTAGTTCTCCCAAAAATTAATTGTCATCATTTACTCTCAAGTTGTTTTAAACCCGAATAAGTTTGCTCAGAAAGCGCACGTTAGAACAGCGCATCAGCACGTTAATTACATGTTTAACCAGCAAGGCTTTAAAGCTCATGCAAATAATGAACTTTTGTGAACTGCAGTGTCCCGTTCCTCTGCGTTAACATTTGATGTGAATATACATCGTGTTGTACAGTATGTTGAGACGGAGGTGCCAGAACTGCAACTGATAGAAGGCACAATACTACGATATTTCTTCAAAAGCAGATCGTGGAGACATTTTAATCGTCCACGATCAAACACCGCGATATTGCACACCCCTAGCTTCACGTCTACCTTCCACCATAGTTGTTTTCACTCTGCATATGAGCTGCGAATGGGTCCCAAACAGAAATACATCATCAAGAAGGCTTTATCGCTATTATCACGAGAAGACTAATTCTTGTCGTGAGGAGAATTTTTACCGGTATATCGCAAACAATAATATATCCCCTATTCCTTGTGATCGTATGCATTTGAACATGTAACAAAGCATTTATTGATGGCGTCTTACCTTGGAGACAGCCATGTCTACAGAGAGAGAAAGTGTGGAAAGTACATCTCGGACTAAGCACGCATGTCTTTCTGACGTGTTAAATGGCTGTGGGAAGAGACGGAATGTTAGAAAATTGACCAATTGAATAACCCACTTAAATCAATGATCAATTTCTGCTGAACTTACAGTTTTCTCCATGACAGGCTGCAGGTGATGTCCGTATGCCAGCTTTAGGTTCTGTCTGTCTGCACACAAAGCTGCTGCGAGCAGAGGCACTGGGACAGGTGAGTCTCCCTTCATAGTGGACACCTGCAGTGAGCACACTGGTGACAGTGGCTTCTTACATATCCTGAGGAAGAAAAATATGAACATGAGCTTCACAGAACTGGTTTAAAGCATAACCATTCACAATGATAAATAGAGGATGGACAGACTCACCCATTCAGAAAGTGCTCAAAGAGATGAAGCTGACCATCCTTACACACCACTGCTAACCTCATAGCCTGAGAAACATACAGAGAGGTGTCAAAACCCAAGCACATAACTCCAATCATGGATAATGATTAAGCCCATTAAATCCTCACCTCCTCTTTGTGGCTGGATGTCTGAAGATCTATGTGTTGCGGTTCATCTGTCAGAGTAAATGACACCACAGAGTTCTTGTCCTTGCCATCTGACCTCACCTGCCTGAGGAGCACAGAAGGAACTAAATCAGACATCATTTTATTGAGCCTCAGATTTCTATGAGCTTTTTTTTTTTTTTACAATATCATGAATCAGCTGTCTTAATTGTATTGTTTTGGTTGAAGGGTTAGTTCACCCAAAAATGAAAATTTGCCCATGATTTACACACCCTGAAGCCATCCTAGGTGTTTATGACATTCTTCTTTCAGACGAAATCAATCGGAGTTATATTAAAAAATGTCCTGTCTCCAAGCTTTATAATGGGAGTGAATGGCTGGTGAAAATTTGAAGCCTAAAAAAAGTGCATCGATGCATTATATAAAAGTAATCAATATGGCTCCAGGGGATTAATTAAGGCCTTCTGAAGTGAAGCCATTGTTTGTGTAAGGAAAACACCCATATTTAAAACTTTATAAACTATAATCACTGGCTTCCGACAGACGGCCGTACGCATCGATTTATGGTGGAAGACCAACTCCTGACCCGACGCACTACGTAATGACAAACGCAGAAGCTCAGAGGAAAGAGCAAAACAAAACCCCAGTCGCGAATTCGAAATTTTGAAGATAATATATAATCAGACCTGCAAACTCCTCAGAGTAAGAAAGGTGACAGTGTTGGGGGGGGGGGACATTGTTCTCAACAACAATGTCTTAACGATGTTGTGGAGCTGCAATATGGCTTCTATATGTTGCAATATGGTTGCTGGGTAGCTTTAAACGGTTGCTAGGGTGACGTGGTTACACAGTTACATGTTGTTCTGGATGAACACTATACTGTATATATAATTATCATAGGATTGGCAAAGGAGAAAAGGCAGTAAAATATAAATGAAACATGATGAGCAATACATTTGTTACTGTATTTATTCTTTGTTAATAAAAATACAGCTGTTCGTTGTTTGTTCATATTACTTCACAGTGCATTAGGCTAACTAATGTTAACAAATAGAACTTTTAATTGTAATAAGGCTAATAGTAAATAGTGAAATTAACATTACCAAAGATTAATAAATGCTATTTATTTATAAAGATTAAGAAGTGCAGTTTATGAATAGTTAATATTAACTAGTGTGGTGTTATCAATTTGTTATACACCGATTCAGATCTCTTTTGAAGAGACAGATGTTGGACAGATCAGTTATTTTAACCATTCATAAAAGTAAATCGGTTCAAATGAGTCATAGTTCGCGAATCGGACGTGCCATTAGCTGACACACACGGCACGCGTTGTGTGATTATCCCAGCAGATAAGGACATCGCACAAGATTTGTCTCAACTCTCAACACAGAAAACATTTAATCACTGGATAGGTTTTTTGTTTATTGAAAATGTGGTTTATGTCAGCTGAATGTGCGGAACGCTTTTCAGAGAGGATAGGGCAATTTTAGCAGGCTGCAATTCACACCCAGCGGTAATTCAGGAAAAAAAATCTCCACGTGAAACTTTGGTCTTTTGATCTTTTACTATCGTGTCAATTCTCAATAGATTTTGATTAATATGCGCGATGGAGGGAGAGCAAGGCAGTTTGAATACAGTGAGAGTGTACGCGTCTCTCTCTCTCTCTCTCTCTCTCTCTCTCTCTCTCTCTCTCTCTCTCTCTCTCTCTCTCTCTACGAGCGCAGCATAACAAAGCGGTAGCTAACGTTAATTGAATCAAGCAAACAACTAGCTGTTGTTTTTGCTCCAAAAAAGCTTGATTTACCTCGAATTTCACATAAGATTCCTTCACGTTATGAGTTTCCATCAGACTCGCGTGGTAGCCAGGTGTCTCATCCAATGGCGATTCTGACGCAAGTGCTAAGATTCCGATTGGCCAAGAGAAAAAGTACTAAGATTCCAATTGGCCCAGAGAAATGTCAATTATAAGAATTATCCAATAATGTTTCGCAATTCTAGCCTGGGTGCAGATTTAGGTGCAGCCTACACCAACACCCCCCACCCCACACAAAAAAAAAACTCTCCGGTTCTACGCGATTCACGTGAATGACCCAATTGACCAAGAAAACGGCGATTATCGCCGAAAAGCGACAAGTTTGCAGGTCTGATAATTGTATATAATAGAAGAGGAGCTTCAGTTTGTTGCACAGCCCTATTTGTTTAAACCGCGAGAGCCGCCTAAGCTTACGATACTCCTATGTCATACGCATCACTGGTTACTCTTGTGACGCAAGTCGACTTGCGTAGTATGCTTACAGTCGTCTGGCGGAAGCTAGTTATTTTAGATTATAAAGTTATAAATATGGGTATTTTTCTTACAAAAACATGGCTCCTCTTCATAAGGCCTTTATTAACTACCACTAGCCGTGTGGAGTATTTTTGTATAATGGATAGATTAAGTTTTTTTGGGCTTCAAATTTTCACCAGCCATTCACTCCCATTTTAAAGCTTGGATTAGCCCATTTTTTTTATATAACTATTTGTCTGAAAGAAGAATGTCATGTACACCTGGGATGGCTTGAGGGTGAGCAAATTATGAGGTAATTTAACATTTTTGGGTAAACTATCCCTTTAATATTGTAATCACAATATTAAAATCCCACTATTATTAGTAGGGATGCACCGACACCATTTTTTCAGAACAGATACCAAAAATTCTGAGTACTGTGATAAAAAAAAAGGTAGAATTTCAATACCCGTGTGTTGAACTGATAATTACTGTTTTGGGTGTTAAACATTATTATAAAGAAAAACAACAAATAAAAAAATTATGATCATAATCAATGACAAAATACGATTATAAACTAGATTAGTGGAAAATTCAGCAACAAAAGTTACTCTAGAAAAATCCTGAGTGCACAATAATTGTATTAAATCTAAACATTTAGTGGAGATGGAGAACAAATAAAAGTGAATAAGTGTAGCACTAAATCTGGTCAAATGTTACATTGTAATTGTATTGTTGTAAAATACATTCATGAAAACCAAGTAAATATATTTATATATAATATATCTTTCATTGCACAAAAGTGTTATAATATGAAAGGAGCAAGATCAAGTAATTTTATGCAAAACCATAGACCTTTATCTACAGATCAAGTATAATAGGAACACTGAATCATCTTAGGGAGAGTTTCATCATGGTGACCATCATAACCGAACGCGACACGCTGTTTTGAGTGCTGAATGGAGAATGACAGCCGCAGCGGAGTGAGGGAAGCACTGACCTGAACTTGAATTTAACGACTTCAATATTCATCTCTATGTCACATTAAACTATGGAATGGCTTAACATAATATAGTGCACAAAAAGTTGATGGTGCTTTATAACGTTTTTGTGCCTTTTGTGAGGCTTAACACAGAATAGTATACGCACAATATCGTATTTGGATCGGTCCCATCTGGGGTGCGTTTCCCAAAAGCATCATTAGCCAACTATGGTCGCAAGTTCCGTTGTTATCAGCATAGTTCAACAAGTCAGTGTTTCCCGAAACCAGTTCCAGCGAACATTCGAAAACAGCATCGCAAAGTTGTGTGGTTGGAACGACAGCTCTCGACCTGTGGTTAGAAGCATTGTTTCTTGTTTGCATGACATGTGGACTCAATAAAACCTTATCTTGAGCACAATAAGCAAGCTGACATTCAGTACAATCGGTGTCTTTTATTTAGAATACAAATGTCATTTACGTCTTAGTTTGTCAAGAGATTTAAATTGTCGTTTTTTTACGTGCTTTACTACGCAAGAATGAGCCTAGATAGAACCTGGAAATAAATCAAAATAACTGAGAAAAATTAGAAAAAGTCCTCAGATGCCATGTCCGTAATTTATAGCAAAACATCTAGCATTAATTCGATCTGAAACATTCATTAAAAGTAGTTCCTTACTTCCTTACAGAGCATGCCACACAACTCCTTGTCCAAGCACTTGTTTTATCCAGACTGGACTATTGTAATGCTCTCCTGGCTGGTCTTCCAGCTTGCTCTGTCAAACCTCTACAATTGATCCAGAATGCTGCAGCCAGAGTAGTCTTCAATGAGCCGAAGAGAGCACACGTCACTCCTCTCCTCACACAATTGCACTGGTTGCCAGTTGCCGCTCGCATTAAATTCAAGGCACTGACGTTTGCCTACAGAACAACCACTGGCACTGCTCCCTCTTACCTAAACTCATTACTCCAGACTTATGTGCCATCCAGAAACCTGCGCTCTGCTAGCGAATGTCGTCTTGTGGTACCATCTCAAAGAGGCACAAAATCTCTTTCTCGGACCTTTACCATGGCTGTTCCCTGTTGGTGGAATGATCTGCCTAACTCAACCAGAGCTTCTGAGTCAGTAGCCACTTTCAAGAAACTGCTGAAGACATATCTTTTTCGGCAGCACTTGATTCAGTAGAATTAACACTTTCTCTTCTATTCTATATAAAAAAAAAAAAAAAACGCACTAAAATTAAACTGAGAGGGGTTATAGCACTTACGTATTGTTGTCCTACTGTTAGTTTAACTGCTTCTATTGTTCTCATTTGTAAGTCGCTTTGGATAAAAGCGTCTGCTAAATGAATAAATGTAAATGTAAATGTAGTTATTACTCCACCACCTGTGTGACATCATTAACCAATGTGGTTGAACGACGATCCGGTTTCGGGAATCAGTCGTGACTAGCTAGTTGATTTCTTCAACGATGCATCGTACTATGGTAGTTAAATAGCGAGTTACCTCGTTGTACGGGAAACGCACCCCTGTGTCGAATGTCGAAATTGGGATCGGCGCATCCCTAATTATTAGATAGGCCAAATTGTAATAACTGTACACCAACCATAAATGATCATTATGGGTTTATCTCTGTGTGCTATGGTTAGCTAGTAAAGGTGTAACGTACCACACACTCAGGAGCCTGTCGTGAGCAGCTCCTGACAGAAAGTACATCCCATTGCTGTCTGGGGGTCGTGTTGTGGCGAAGCAGAGAGTTGTTACCATGGTAGAGTGACCTGTGAATTTCTGCAAATTTGGGAGGTATTGTTAAATCCGAAACTTTTCTGTTTTTATTTACCCGTGGCTGCTAATAGCATAGAGGTCAGACTCACCCTGTACACTTCCTTAGTCTCCAGGTTCCACATCTTGATGATCATTCCTGCCGAGAGCAGCAGCTTTCCATCTGGACTTATACACAGGCTGCTGACGGCTGATCTGTCTGCCTTCCATTTGCTGAACACAGAACATGTTTGCTTGTAAATTAGATGCACAAAATTATTACATTGAATAAAACCAGAGGAACATCCAACACAAATAACTGCACACACTTACCAACTAACTTTTCCTTTCTGCAGGTCCCATTCGGCTATGTGCGTGTCATCTGAGCCACTGTATAACACAGAGTCCTCTGGATGCCACTGGACGCTGTTGACTGGTCCACTGTGTTCTCCATCCTGAAAGGATAAGACACCATTAAACATTCTTAATTTCACCTAAATTAACAGAAATCACTCGTGTCTTTTTTAGTTAGGTGAACTACTTTCTCCCCTGGGTATTACAAACCTATGGAAGTAACGTGTGCTGTTTGCTTGCCATTTTCAAGTCCACTGTAGTTCACCAAACTTCCCTTAAAGGGATAGTTCACCCATAAATTAAAAATTATCATCAACTACTCACACTCATGTCATTCCAAACCTATAAGACTTATTTACCTTTGGAACACAAATTAAGATATTTTTAATAAAATGACAGTCTATTCGCCCAAAATTCTGATGCTTAAAACATTTATAAAGACATAAAATAAATCCATATGAATCAAGTGGTTTAATGGAAGTCTTCTAAAGAGACACAATTGCTTTGTGAATGAGTCTAAATTTAATCTATTCATCATATAATCACATATAAACTTTGATCAGCGAAAAAATACATAGATCACTCAAAAGTGGCAAACGGAAGCTCAACTAAATTTTCTATAGTTTATGATTTGAAGTAGGGCTGCACGATATATATAGAAAAATAATCGTTATCGCGATAATAGTATATGCGATATCCGTATCGCAGAGAGGTCTGATAAATTACATGTGCCAAGCATTTGTGTGTTGCGTGCATGCATAGGTTGTTTATCCAAATTCGACCAATCAAATGGGGCCTTACAATCTTTATACCCGCCTCCCCAGTAGGTGCTGTTATGCTATTGGCTAGATCGGGCCCAAAGGGGAACCTAGTGGCTCAGAGCAGAGAGTGGAAAATAAAAACTAATGGCGAGAGTAGAGACAAGTGAGGAAAATGACAACACCAAAGAACCTGTGCCTAAAAAGAACTGTACGTCTGAAATATGGCAATATTTTGGCTTCAATAGAGAAGTGTCACAAATGCAGGTACTGTGTAAGGGGTCGTTCACATATCGCGTCTAAAAACGACTGGAAAGCGCAGCCGCACCGCTATCTCCTTTCCACAAGCGCTTGCGTCTGTCGTTGCTATGCAACCATGAGCTGCGCTGAGGGCTTTCCATGATGACGAATAAGTATCAGCAAAGGATTAGTTGATTTCTAGCCCTTGTATTAGCTTTACTTCTAGATATATTTATGGAGATGAGAAACAAAAACCCGCCCTGTACAGCTATGATCAGCTGTTCGGGCCGAGCTTTCGATGTTGTTACGAAACGGCCGAAGCTGATCGTTGGTTTTTGTCACATGACCTGCGGTAAGCTTGCGGCATTCTGAAAAGTTAAGATGTTCTCATCTCGTCGCGGCATAGGCGGGCCTGCAAAAATGTGCTTCCATTGAGCGTGCTTGCCGCGCGCCTGTATTTGAAATAACGAATTTGCACGCACAAAAAGCGCGAGGTGAACATAAGTGACGTGTCACTAAGTCGTGCGGAAAAAATTCTGCCCACGTCGAGAGGAAACTAATCTCCAGTCATCTGAAACGCAACCTCAGGGAGCTATATGAAGACTTCAAAAAGTGTAAGCCCACATCTACCAAAACTGCTAACGAAATGCCAAGTAACAATAACAGAGTCTCACAGACAACCATTACCGTATTTTCCGCAATATAAGGCGCACTTAAAAGCCTTTAACTTTCTCAAAAAACGGCAGTGCGCCTTATAATCCGGAGCGCCTTATATATGGATGGTGAACACACGTTCACCAAGACGGGGAGACAGCGCCGGGCGACTTACGCCACTATCTGCCAATGGATCGTGGATGCCTGGGCTGATATATCAGTCTCAACTGTGATCCGAGCTTTCACGAAGGCAGGAATAATCTCTTTATTCAACCAGCTCACATACCCGTATTTACTTCCTGTTTTCGGTCGAAGTCCACAGTAGTTGATTGTCGAGTTCGCGTGCGCGATCAAACCTCCTCCGTGTGTTCAACATCTGATTCGGATGAACTATCCATTTGAGCTGATATTCTCAGAACACCACACAGCACCGTCATCGGCTGACAGCTGACAGTCTGAGTCTCCACTGTTGCTTAGTTACCAATGATCGCGCGCGCACTCGACAATCGCCTACTGTGGACTTCGACCGAAAACGTGAAGAAAATACGGGTATGTGAGCTGGCTGAATAAACATCATTTTTATTCATATCTTTCACATTTACTGCAGTCAGATTCACCGTGTTCACTCACATGGCTGTGCAGTTGTAATGACACATTAAGGTTGTTAAAAGGCTAAAAGCAGGTTTAAAACTTGTCCCGTTTAAGTCAACAGGGTGCGAATTTTAAAAAGAGGATAACACTGTCGGTTTTTGTCGTTGTTATCTGTAACTGACAGCACTCCAAATTTACAAAAAAAATGAGCTTAATGTTAAAATTGACCGGAGTTCTCCTTCAACGTTTGAACAACGTTACCATGGGAGTGAACGGAGTTGTCAGAACGCTTAATAAAGTTTGACTTTGTCTGACTGTTTTGTTGACATTCCCTTTAGCACATCTAGTGGATGCATAATGTAAACCCAGTCAAACGTTTGACTGCAGTATTTTATGCGCCTTATAATCCGGTGCGCCCTATATATGAAAAATGTTCTAAAATAGGTCATTCATTGAAGGTGCACCTTATAATACGGTGCACCTTATAGTGTGGAAAATACGGTAATCAAAGTTTTGCAAGTGTAAACTGATATTCTTCGGAAGATCAGAAGAATATCTTTTAGCCTACTTGTTTATTTTAGTATGATCATTACATATATAAATGATTTTTTTTTTTTAAAAGCTTAATAAAAATAGCATTTCTCTAGGGAAATGTTATATCGCAAGAAATATCGTTATCGCAACACTCATCGCATATCACATATTTTCCCAGTATCGTGGAGCCCTAATTTGAAGCAAGTTTTGGTTGAATAGACTTTCAATGGATTGACAGGAATCTCTCGGATTTCATTGAAAATATCTTCATCTGTGTTCCAAAGAACGAAAGTCTTATGGATTTGGAATAGGGATGTCAATTTACACAAATTCCCATGTTCGATCGTCGTTTAAATTAAAGGTGCATTGCGCAACATTATATGTTAAAAATACCCGTTTTTCTAACCCATCCATGCTTAAACAATTGCCTGATGGGCTGAATGAGCCCTTCTCTTATCACTGCGATTGCCTCTATAATCCTGTACAGTAAAATAAATAAGAGGGATTCGGGCCGGAACGTGAGACTTGGCGTGACGTCATGCGCGTTCACGCTCCCCTGGCTATGTCTGGCAGGTTTGTGTATTCGCCGCCATTCTCCGTATTAGCGAAGACAACTCGAGCGACAAAACTTCAGTCAACTTTCGACAAAAGTAGAAGATGGATTCAAAGAGACCGGCTTGTAGTTCATAAACCCCAACACAAACTCCACGCAAAAAGACAGTAAGGCCGTGTGTCCACCAAAGCGTTTTTAGGCAGCTGAAAACGCTTGACGCTCTGCTGAAAACGCCTAGCTGTGGGCGCTTGAGCATTTGGCAGCACAGCGTTTTTTCCGTTGAGACGTTTCGTTGCTATGATACAGAATATCCGCAGCACAGTTTACTTGAAACTGATTTCGCAGATAATTTGTTTCATGCTGAAAATTTATTTTTCATCCATTTTGTTCGGTTAGCTCTCTTGGTTGATGTCGTTGTACAGAAAGAATGTTGTGACAGTTGGTCGGTGTGGTAGTAGTCCCGCCCCTCCTCCACTGTGATTGGACGGCTGCGTTTTATCCAAAGTTGAACATTTTTCAACTCGGGCATGTCGGAGAATAGCACGCACACGCATAAAAAACACACCGCGAGCAGGCATGTGGAGAATACGCGGACACGCGCTTCACACTGTGAGCGTGCTGCGGGCACCCAAAAGATTGTTTGACTATCAATAATCCCTAACATCACTCATTTTTTAAAATTATTTTATAGGTGAAAACAGACTTAAGGAACAGGCTCCAGGGGTACCATTTAGCAGCATATATGCTCAGCATCAGGGGTGTGTGTTGTTTGGACAGACCTGCCCCCACTGCTAAAAACATCCTAAAAGAAACACTGTAACTCTTCTCATTTTAACTTTTCTGAAACATTAACCAAGATGGCCTAGTATTGTTGTTGATATGAGTCTGTGTTGTCTAGTATTTTCACCGTTTTCTTAAAAGTTAACATAATCTGACTGAGGAATCTTAGACAAGTAAATATTGTTGTGGTCAAATGTAAATTAACTTGTGCCTATTTAACTTTATTCAAAAATTATTATTTAATTCTGCAATTTTCCTTCATTAGCGATTATCATCAATTTGATTACACAGATAGGCTACTAATTAAACTAAACAGCTAGACAATGGCATCTCTGAATTCAATAATGACATGCCTTTAACTGAAAATTGAATGTTTAATCTTATTATTATACATTACTGACACTATCCTCCAATTTGATACTGTTAAGTGCTTTTTTGTTACAGTATATTTTAGTCTTTGATAACAGTAGGTAATAAAAATACAACGGATCATGTTAGCTCTGGTCCAATTAAAAAATAAACAAATAGAACTCAGGACATTTTTGTTCATGTAAAATATACCTCATTGTCATGTTCTAGACTTGTTATATTTAGCTTTAAATACAAAAAATACCCCCTTAATATTGTGGCAATTTTTTTCTCTGTGGTATCGAAAATCGATATTTTTCAAGGTATCGTATTAAAGTTAGAAATTCTAGTATCGTGACAACACTAGCATGCACTGAATGAAAAAACGGTAAACTGAAGCCCTTTGCTAGCACGTTACTGAAGCCCTTTGCTAGCACGTTACTTAAAGAAATGAATCCTACAAGAGACAATCAGATACATACAAAATAAACATATTACAATTTATATCTGCACAAAATGACACGAATGTACAAGTGAACTTGAACTAATTTACATTCTATTCAGAATGTGTGACTCATGTTGTGGCGCTCTTGGAGCAACGCGATGAAACACGGCAAGTAAACCCAAAAAATTAAATAACCCAAATGTTTTATTACAATATTGTTCTCTTTAAAATGTAATACGATGTAATAATTATGTAATACGACAGTTCCAATCATAGTCATTAGTTGTGCATTGCTGTTTGAGCAGCATGCCCTGAAATGGATCACCGGTGCTTTTTATACAGCGTTAATTCTCAACCAAATGCACCCTATATGAGATAAATCAGATATAGATAGGCCTACACAAAATAAACAATATTACAACTTACATTTGCACAAAACAAAAGGACAAAAGGCTGCGAATGAACACGCAAACTTAGTCGTGATGAAGATGTATCTAGTTGTAAACTGGTCCCAAACATAACTCTGTACTGCTCGCTTAATTTTTCCTCGTGTCTGCTATAAAAGATTCGAGGTTGAGCAGCACACGCACAAACCTGCTTAATCGACGATCGTTTTATTGATTTAACGTATTAACAACAATTAATCGATCGTTGATTAATCGTTAACATCCCTAGTTTGGAAGGACATGAGGCTGAGTAATTGATGACAATTCTCATTTTTGGGTGAACTAACTAGAGATGCATCAATTACAATTTTCTAGGCCGATTACGATTTCCAATTCTTCAGAGTTTGACGTGCCGATACCGATTTTAGCCGATTCCGATTTCATTTTTTCTAACCACTTCACAGCACAAACAAATATTTATTTTCTCTCTTTTCTTTAGTAGAACATTTTACATAGAACATTTTTGATAAAAATAGGACTATATAAATTACTCCTGGTGTGGGAAATTCACACATCTAAAGTGCAGTGTTATGGAAGAACCATTTCCTTCTTTTCACATCCAATATCCAACTAAAAAAATGTGTTCATTTCAAAAAGAAAATTCATTTTCTTTTCTGACATAGGCTATACTCCAGTTCTTGTTAAAACACACCAGACATGCAAATTCTGTGTATTTTGGGAACTTTTGTGTGAAATCATATTTATTTTGTCCATCAAAAGTGTGCTTTCAGTTTAATGGAGCGTGAGCAGTGCAGCAAAAATAGATTCTGCACCGAAACCCACGTTTCACCGCTGCTCCCGGTGTGAATGCACTCATTGATTTACATGCATGCCGGGAATAATATGCGCTGCATGTGCACGTGTGATTTGATGCATTTGACCGGCATATGTCAGACTGACCGGCCGGTCGCCGATCATGTGAAAATCGGCGAATTCCGTAGCCTGACTTCGTCATACTCATATTCTAGTCAGAATGTGAGTCTGATACTGCTCCATAGGGCTTTGATTATGAGGTGTGTCTTAACCGAACCAGGAAAAAAAAAAACTCTGCACTCAATTGGATAGACCTACAACCAATCAGAGCAACGCAGTAAGTGTTTTTTTTATGAGCTACGCAAAGTTGTCAACAGAACTACACGCACGCTGGAAGAAGTAGTAAAATAACGAGTGTTGCTTCTTTAACTTGGTCCTCCATGAGTGCGACCAAAGGAGAAACCACAACGACCACAGGGTTTTCATTGCGTCCCATCTTCTTAGCGACCATCGGAGCCAGCTGATAAAATAAACTTTTGCCGAATCCCGAAGGAAGGACGGCAAACATCTTTCCGATCGACAAATGCCTTGATTGCAGTTCTCTGTTCGTCTTTTAAAATGAATGCGCTGTCGATTTCTTTTACAACAGACGCGATGGCGGAATCTATACATCTCAATTCTCCAGCTGCAGTCATCTTTGAGGGAAACCAGTTCAACCCAAGCGCTCTTTGATAACGTGATGATTACGTAACTGCAGATCATCTGTCCATCATCGTATAAAGCCCACCCTGGCAATTTGATTGGCCCGACTAATTCTGAACCGATCATAATTACTCCTCAATGGATCGAGTGCAGACCGAACTTCCCGACCAAAAAATGTTGTGGGCGGGGATCGGGCTGGTATCCAGGCTACCAATTCCGGTCACCAGCCGATCAATCGGTGCATCTCTAGAACTAACCCTTTAAATCTTTGAGATGCATTGGCCAAATATCATAATGACCAGCTGTTGGTGAATTCTTACCAGAGTGCAATGCAGGTCTCCCTTCACTGTGCTGTAGATGAGGACAGACCCAACAGCAGTGCCCAGAGCCAACAGATCTGTCTGCTCAACTGCCGACCCGGCCTCACATTTCCTCCTCTTCCTCTGTGGAACATCCTAAAGTGCACACACATAAAAAGAAAAAGAAAATTATTACCATTAATTCTGCCTTTTAGGAAAGTCCAACAGGAAAAAAAATTCATTTGTTATTTAATTATGAATAATATTTAAACATTTCTTACTGGACATTGTTTACCCAGTCATTTCCATTAAAAAGACTTTAATGTATGTAACCTATCGAGAGCTGTTTTAACATTACTAGCAAATAATCAAAATACTAGTGACAAGTTCTCAATTTCACTAGAAAATTCATTTGATACTGGTAAATAAAAACTAGCCTGTTTTGTTACTGGTGACAAACTATTTATTAAGTTTTAATAAGGACTATTTATTAAGTATTAAAAATGATATCTAGCTACCAGTAATGGGCTATTATCCATTATATAGGTACTAGGATCCATGTGCACTAGGAAACTGGAGCAGTTATGAATAACCACTTGCAGTTACAACTAAAGTACTATTAATAGTTAATAAGTAGTAAACCCACAGGTACAAAGCTAAAAAAGAAAACATACTATCAATCAATCAATCAACTTTTATGTATATAGCACAATAAAAGCAACAGTAGCTTGCCATTGTGCTGTACAACAAGATGCATATCTAAAAAACAAGACAGACCGCAAAACAGATGATAAAGGGAGTGTACATCGAAAACACCAATCAGAAAATTCAACATTAAAATCAAGGACAGTTGTAAGCCTGTGAGTACTAGTAAGTTAGTGTTTGATATCTGAATCACAAACAGAAAAGAACTTCAAGTCAAACATTTAACATTTGTTACTAGTAACAATGGAAGAGTTACTTGTCAAAGATGTTTAAGCCCAACTTTCTCCAACACTAGCTAGAATCAACTACCCTGACGGTCCGCGTGTTACTATATATATCAGTTTGACAGAAAGACTGATTTCTGATAGACACTTTACAAACAGCATCAAGAGAAAGTTCACGAGTGAGGGTTGTGCAGCCATGTGACCATGTGCTAGATTGCTAAAGTACATTTACATACAACACTGGTCATTTAAACTACACAAAAATAAGTAACACACTAAAAGAGATGTTGACATGTTTTTTTTAGTTATAAAATAAATAGCAGGGAATCATCACTTTAGCCAACATCAACTTATTAGCCTACGTTACGTTATTAGCCACAGACAACCAACCGAAGACTATAACAATGTTTACGAGCCCCAATATGCGCATGTAGCTGAACTTCTGGAATCAGTGTAGTGATTTTAAAGGTTTTATGTTGAGAACATATGTGAGTTTAGTGTTGCATCTGCGCGTCTCGCGGCCTGCGTCTGAACATGTGCCACACGCAACATGTGCGCAGCGCACTCCACGAGCGCAGCTCTAAAGCACCCAGTAAATTACATTGTCAAATTATCAGTGTTCAGTTTTATGATCATATGCTGGGTAAATACAGTCAAAGCGACCCGAAGACTCTGCAACGGTGCACTGCGATCCAACAGGCCGCATCCCCCGACTGAACCCCGAACACTGTGTGTTAACGTTACCTGAACTGCTCGGCACGGTCCCCATGTCACACAGGTACAGGCTGCGCTCAGGTGCGCGGAAGGCACGTATTCCTGTTGTAGAGTTTTGCTCTCGGTATTCCAAATCCGTAGTCTCCCGTCCTGTGCGCAGAGAGCCAGAAACTGTTGTGATTTGGGGCTAAAGGCGCAGGGAAGCGCAGATCGGCCTCCGTCCGCCGCCATCTTAGCAGTCCGCGTGTGTCCGTCTGCTTCACGGGAAACACGTGTGAGAGAAAATTCCAAAGTGCACATGCGCAGCTGCACAGGCGCTACGAAAACGCTAATTGGCCCTCCTGGGTTCTGTGGGCGTGCCATTGTTTTTACCCAACCACAGACGGACGCGGAAGTTTCATACTCGAATTTTGTTATAGTGGAAGTTGAATTATCTTCTTTGTTATCATCAAATGCAATTTTCATTTGCTTTCTATAACTGAAATGAATGCGCGTTACTACATAGTGCCTAAGTTAAGTATATTTCATTTTAAATTGTATTTATATGTATTTACTAACTGTAACAGAAAATATAAAAACTATAACTGTTACAGAAAAAATAGACATCTAATCAAAATTCTCATTCTGTAACATATAATGGAAACGGTTACACATTTATTTTGTACATGTAATTATTCTAAATAATTATGGGTCATATCATGTCATGTGTCTTCATGTATAGGCTATTTAGCATTTAAATAGCCTATACTAACATGTATGTGCATTTAACAAATAATTCCAATAACGTTCTATTTAAAAAAGCTTAATTTATTTTATTGAAATATGATACATGTACGTTTATAAACGAGTACAATAATTTGTTTATGTTGCTGCAAAGATTTTTTTTTGTATTACCTGGTAACACTTTACGATAAGGTTTCATTAGGTAACATTAGTTAACTACTTTAGTTAACATGAACTAAGAATTAACAATTCTTCTACAGCATTAATAATCTTAGTTCATGTTAATTTCAACATTTATTAATTGCCTACTTCAAAATCAAATTAGTATTTGTTAACATTAGTTTATGTACTGTGAATTAACATGAACAATCAATGACCAGCTAGATTTTTATTAACTAACGTTATCAAAGATTAATAAATAGGCCTACTGTAACACATGCATTGCTCATTGTTCGTTAATGCTAGATAATACATTAACTAATTTAACACATTTAACTAAGTTAACAAATGAGACCTTATTGTAAAGTGTTACCATTTACTTATTTATTTTGTATAAAGAAATGTATTGTTTCAACAGTAAAAACAGATTTAAACCTAACAGTAGCGAATAAGGTGATTAAGATTTATAATAAAGAAAACATTCACATAGACTATATTATATAGGCTTTAAGAAAATAATTCCCTTGACCTAATCATACAACCCTCGTAAATTGCTATATTTTATATTTTAAAGATATTTATTATTAGGGAAACTGAATCAGGACAATAACAGACAAATCTGAACAAGTTTAAGAGAAAGAAACCATCTACCGGTGACCAGATGGTACTGCATCTGTCAGTGACGTCTTTTCCATCATGGCGGCGCCCTTTGAGAATCATGCTGGATTGTTTTTTCTTCTAACATAATGGACACAGGTTAAGTTGCCATTTACGCTAGTATCCTGCCAGTAAATAATTATATAGCGAATTATTTAGGTATTATTACAGGTCGTTTGAAATGATCCATTTACTACAAATTTGTTTGACTTTATTTTTTTGTCAAAGCAAAGGTTATTGTGTAGAGGTATAACTTATTGTAGTGAATTATATAATGCATGATTTGCGAGTTCCTACCAGTACGTCTATTCTGGTCTGTGTAGAAGCGCTCAATAGCTGCTGTGTGTGATTTTTCTGATCTCTGTGTGGTGAGAAGAACGTGTACCATCTTCATCCTTCAAGTTATTCTTTCTTCAGCTCAAAACCATGACAGTTTTATTGCATTTGGGTCTCTCATTCATGACTCGTAAATTTGTCAAAGTCCATGTCATGTGTTTGGATAGACATCATGTGGTTCGGATTAAACCGTTTCTCTGTGGCCTGAGGAGTTTTGGGACTGACCAAAATGATTCTGACAAGGGTTCAGATGCACCCGTGTCCACTTTCCCACCGTTCTCTCAAAGATCTTCTTTGTCTGGAAGACGTCGACCTCTGTCCCCACTGGAGAGAGTCAGTCAACTGCTGCCTGAAGACAGTCTGAGTCAAGAGGTTTGTGAACTACGAGACACTCGAAACAATGAGGTTGAACATGACACTCAGAGTCTGGGGAAGGAACGAGAAGAGGCAACAGAGGAACCTCAATCTTTTGCTCCACATCATGTGTGTGTTCCTGGGGAAAGGCCAATATGTTTCGGAGAGACTCTACTGTCCGAGTTCAGTCGAAAGAGACGTTTAGAGTTTCGGAAGATGTTCCAGCTAAAGGAAGGCATGAAGCTCCATAGTAACTGGGGATTCATAGCTCATGAGGACATGGAGGGACATCCTGCTGGAAGCATCATACGCACTTCAATGGGAATCCCGATTCTCATTCGCCGACCCAGCCTGGATGAGTTCACTCTCTTCATGAAGAGAGGGCCAGCTATTGCATACCCTAAAGTAAGAAATGATCGTCATCACAAAACAGCAGTCAGTCATCTACACATCAGTGAATCTGTAATATCTGCACTGTTTGCATACGGGTCAGTGATGTGACGATTATTAAATCTGGTAATTTATTCCCTCTGCAGGACGCCAGTGCGATGTTGACAATGATGGATGTGACCGAAGGAGATTGTGTTCTGGAATCAGGCTCTGGATCTGGTGCTATGAGCCTTTTCCTGTCCAGGGCAGGTGTGCGAGTCTTCTTCCATCTTTTAAGTGTTCATTAAAAGCAATGTAATGAGTCGCCTGATTATGAGGGTATTGTAGATGTGGGTATACTATTGCAGTACAGTATATCACTTATTAATTTATGCTTGTGTCATCAGTGGGTTATAAAGGAAGTGTTTTGAGTGTGGAGATAAGAGAGGACCATCACAGAGTTGCTGTATTAAACTACAAGCGTTGGCGGTCCACGTGGAGTCTTCGGCGAGGGGAGGAATGGCCTGATAATGTTCACTTTCACCATGGAGACCTCATATCTGCCGCTCCTCTTCTAGCTGGGCGGGGTTTTAACTCGGTGAGGAGCCACACCCTGTGATGTGTTTTATGTTTTTATCATAATATAAGAATCATTTGCTGTCTGTATATTCAAGACTTCTTGTGTGTTAGATCGCTCTGGATATGGTTAATCCATATTTGGCCTTACCTGCTGTGGTTCCTCACCTCCATCCTGGATCTGTGTGTGCTGTTTATCAAGCAAAGTAATACAAAATTCTGTTCATACACAAAGCAACAATGTAAACCTTATCTGACACTACCATTTAAAATTTGGGGGTCAATAAGATTTTGTTTAAAGTCTCTTATGCTCACCAAGGCTGCGTCTTTTTAATCAAAGTACAGTAAAAACAGTAATATTGTGAAATTCTATTACAATTTAAAAACTGTTTTCTATTTGAATACATTTTAAAAGGTACTTTATTCCTGTGATGGCAAAGCTGAATTTTCAGCATAATTACTCCAGTCTTCAGTCACATGATCCTTCAGAAATCATTCTAATTTGCTGCTCAAGTAACATTTCTTATTATATCCACTTTGATAACAGTTGTGCCATATATTTTTGTGGAAACCATAGTTTTTTTATATAGAAAGTTCAAAAGAACAGTATTTATTTTAAACTTTTTTAAAATCAATTTAATTAATATTACATTTATTTTTTTATTTATACCTTTATTCATAAAAGTGTTCATTTCTTTAAAAAAATAAAAAATTGAACATTAGTGTATAGAATGTATAAATAATGTTTTCCTGATTTTGTTGCCAGTATCACACAGGTCATTGATCTGATGGAGGGTCTGCGATGCTCCGCCCTTCCTCTGGTGTGTGAACGCATTGTTGAGGTTCAGTACAGGGATTGGCTTGTTGGCCCGTCACTCAAAAAGGATGGAACATTTAACAAACGAAAAGCTCCACATGAAGATGAATGTGAACCAAGTGAAGACACGGCAGGTGATTTATAACATGGTCTTTCTCGTATCATACAAATCAAAGATTCTGCATTGCTTATATTACAGTACACAAAACTTCAAACATCAGCACAAATCATTCCTGGTTAGAATCATGCTAACCTGTCTGTGTTTAAGGGGATTTGAATTGTCAAGATCCGGTGCCGTTTGGAGATGTCCCGTACATTGCACGTCCTCATCCTGAACAGACTGGTCATACAGGTGAGTTACAGCTCTCCATTGTTGCATTTAACAGAAATAGTAGTAGTGGTATACCTTCTCTAGGTATTTTGTATGTGATTGAAATGTACCTGATTTTTAATGTGTTTCTTTTCAGCTTTCCTCATAAAACTACGAAAGGTCTTGAAATAGATGCACTACTTATGTGAATACAAGAGTACAACAAAGCTGCAGTGTCTCATATATATGCTTTATCAATAAACTTGTCCAATAAAAGTCTTTTATTGTACATTTTTCTTTCATGCTCTTGAGTATTTAAGACAAGAGTATATTGAATCTAAATATCTGCTCAATTTATTTCATAGGTGTTCGTTCACATTCATATTTATATTAGGCAAATGTTATACTTGTTTCATTAAGACACAGACTCTCTGACAGTAAGTGCACAATACAACAATAACAAATAAATAAATAAATAAATAGTCATGAGGATTATGATACAGTAAAATACATGTACAAACCTTCACATAGTGAGAGGATTTTTTGACATATTCTTTAGATCTTATATGAACAATGTACATGACCATTACTCTTTTCACACCAATGCTGTACATTTCTTTTAAGGTCAGTTTAGAGACTGAAATTCTGTTCTGCCCCTTAGACAGCTGAAGTGCCTCTAATATAGACAAGAGGCAAATATGATCGGTTTAATGTTATGCAATCGAGCTACTCCTCATTGATCCAGTCCATCGAATGATCTTGACACATTTCGCTGACCCCATCACTTCCTGAAAATATGCATAAGAGAAGAAAAGCCAATTGTAAATATTTCTACAGAGGGATTAGTACAGATCAAATGCAAGAATTTCAGCTGCAGTGGCCAAAGTAAAACCCATCAGTCATAAAAAGTAGTGGTGCACACCATAAATTTCCTTTACACCGCTAGAGGGCGTCACACACTCATTTACCTGCTGTAGTTGTGCAGTTAAAGGTGTACTGAGCTTTGGCCATCTTACTGGGCCTTTGTGAAGCTTTGGTCTTCGGGGGTACAGACGAAGAACAAGCCACAGTAGAGGATGGGCGAGGCACAGGAACAGCAGAGGTCTTGGCACAGAGAGAACAAGGCTCTGGAGAAGCAGAAGGCCCGCGGGGAATGTGGATCCCCTCACAGTTTTGGTACAACCTCTGAGCACCACTGTGATGCTCTGCACGCTCACGCTGCCAGATGAAATGAGATGGCACAATAGCCATCACCTGCAATCAAGCACAAAGTGATTTAGAGCTATATTTCAGAACCAGCAACTTCAAAAATGATTTACAGTGCATGTTTAGTGAGCTGCGTACCTCCTCGCAGCATCGTCTGCTGACAGCAGCTCGGTACTCTATGCGTGCCCACAGGTGGTCTCTTTGCTTTAGGAATCGTGGGAAATTTTTCCTCCAGCTTTTTCCCAGAGCCCATGGGAAGATCTCATATTTGGTCTCTTCCTCATCCTCTTCCATTGTGTTTGCCAGATAGCTAGAGTTTGAAAAATGTAACAAACAGACTCTAGGAATTAAGGTTGTACCCATAAATAGGACTTCTCTGTTGTGCACATAATAACATATTGCAGTTCTATTGAAAAACTTTAACATCAAGTACAACCCTACATACTGTAAATACAGAAAAATGCTAGAGTAAAAACCAACTAACAGGTTTTTACTCTAGCATTTTTCTGTATTTACAGTATGTAGGGTTGTACTTGATGTTAAAGTTTTTCAATAGAACTGCAATGTTTACTGCAAAATTCTGCAAATTTTACAATTTTTCATGGTAAATGGTAAGGTAACTTACAGTTACCTTACCATTTACCATGAAAAATTGTAAATGGTTAACCACATATGTAAAAATGTTTGGCTTCTGGAAGTAAAAAACATGAATTGCAAAATTAATTACCAAATAATTTACAGTTAAAAACAGTAAAAGACAAAGTCCCTGCATTACATTTTTTAGTTTTGTCTCCTCCAATCTATGTTATCAGTAATGTATTAGGTGTACTATGCTACATTTTCTGTTATTTAGTTAATATTTTATGCATTATTATTTTAAGTGTTAGCCTGACTGTTTTGTCTGACCCTATGCACCATCTAATGAGTTTCGACCATGTTTTATGGACACTTACGATGAACTCTGATTCATCATGTGGCTTTCAATTGTACAACCATTGTTATTATGGTTGTTAGTACACTTAAGGTAAAAATGCAGATTTGGGTAGTTCAAAATAGGTATATTAACATTCTATAAAATAAAATAAAATGGTGATAGGTTGTAAAATATACATGCATCTTGTAAAACACTGTCACAGTATTTTTACAGTGCATTTCTGACAACCACAGCTGCCATTTTGTAATGATAAATGTAACAGGACATTTTTTACAGTGTACAGAACATGCACAGAATGATCAACTCACAGGGCAAGGAAGAAGTTCATTCTGTTGTGTTCAGTGATACTGAAACGAGCCCTCCTGAAGTACACAAATGTCATAGCCAACAAATACTATAATAGAAAGACATACACAACTGGGTTTAGAGACAGCTGAATATATTCAATTTTTCTAAATTCAACAATGAAAACAATCTATAAACCACTCAATATTAATAAATACACCAAAATACGTCTTGCTACCTTGTCCGAAAGTTTGCAGCAGCAGTCCATCCACAGAAAGTCCTGTATTAGATCATCATCTGAGCAGACAGCAAATCAAAGCGTTATTATTCTACAGAATTATATATATAGATCTTGATTTACATTTTTGATTTAAACTAGAAATAAACCTGATGTAAAAGTGACCAGTGTGGCACAGAGGTTTCATTTTGTTAAGAAGGATTCCTGAACCCACCGAACAGTCTGAAGAAGGCGGCCATCTCCTGCCTCTGGATCAGCAGGGTCGGGCCGGTCGTCTTCCTGCGAGGCTGCTGAGATGAAGAGTCCGACTGGTTCCGACCCGCTGGGGTCGGCCTCGTTCTCCGCGGGCCTCGCCGGATCTGCAGACCGTGAGTAGGTCCAGATGGGGCGGTTTCGGCCCATGGTAGGCTCAGTTTAATCATGTTTCAATGATTAAATCAGCCGATATTACCGAACTGCCACTGTGTAAATAGTATCATTATATGATTATTCGATATTTATTTTAGATGGCATATTGAATTCCTGTTAGTTTATAAATCACAGACTTTTGCTAAATACAATTCAAAGTAACGTTAGCGTATTGTCCTAAAGACAATAACTATCACCTAAAGAAAGATAAAAAAAATTACTTCTCACCATTCCTATCGGACTAAGATATAAATACAAATGTTTATATGCTGAATTTTATGTGGTTATTGTGATTTTATATAAGCGAGTTTTCAATTGTAAACCAGATTTACCTCAGTTTAAAAAACCGCGGCTCAGTAATGGCACGCGCATGGTGCCACGCGCTCTCAGGTATGTGTTTAGATAGACTACTGGAATAGGTAAGATTTAATTTTTGATGTTGTGTTTAGCATTAATAATAAATGTGCATTAATAATAGCATTAATAATAAATGTTTCTAAATGTGAGTTAAAACAAAATCAACATTTAATAAATATTTCAAAATGGAAGACACGCTATTCGCGCGAGCGCGCACGTGCACCTGCTCTTCCTTGGGCAGCGCGGGAATCATGTCAGCAGTCACATGGTCAAATATTCTTCAATCAGAGGTCAGAACACTTACATGGATATATAAAAGATCAAGTTGGGAATATTTTGGAAAGGCTTTATTTGCATTTAAAAACGTGCACATATATTTATAAAATAGTTTTTGAAATAGTTTGATAACTCAACAACAAAGATCTAATTCAAGTGGTAAGTGAACAAAATATACAAATGAAAAGCAGTAGCCTAAATGATCCAGTAAACAAATTTATTGCATTGTTGCTATTAGATTTACCTTATGATGGTTTATACAGTGAATAATGCACAAATATTTTTAAAAGAGTAGCCAAACACTAGACATTTCCTGGATTTTGTAGAACATGCTCAGGAAATTAGAGCACATAGCCAATAACTCAAACAGACCACAGGCTGATTTATTCAGATATTTCAAATTACCATGTTCATTAAGTCAGATCAATAACATTTATTTACACATGCTCAAATGCTGACAGGTTTGTTCGCTATTACCAGGAAACAGTAGGTGAAATATCAGGAATTGGTATTTATATGCATATTTCTCGCAGATGTGTTCGAGGACTTTCATTGCTTTGCAAACAGCCTTTATTTCCTAAAACAAAAACACATTTAATTAAAGCCTCGGAAGGTATTTTCAAGCAAAATATCTAATCAATTTATAGGTCAAAGTATTAGTTTACCTTTTTAATCTCATGGAGAATTATGCCCTTGATCTCATGAATTGACTTCTTGCAAACCCAGCACGTAATGACATTCATATCAGACTTCAAGAAAAAAGTGTTTGAACATTAGTAACTTTATATCTGTTTTATTGTATTGCATTACATAGTGCGTCAGTTTACCTCGATGCTTAATTCATGACTCTTTTTGTCTTCTTCGGGAAAGTTCAGTTCATTTCTCTCCAGCATGCTCTTCCAATGTGCTTGGTTAGTAGTGCTGCTGCACTCAACAAGAACTGAGCCACAAAAACAGACAACGTTTATGTGCAGAATTGAATGAATATGATTGTAAAAAATTAATAAGAGCAAATGTAGAAGTTTGAAGTTAAATTCATAGTCCTTCAGTCTCACCTGAGCACATGATAAGCAGTCCCACATGAATGACAGGTGACATGATTCTGCAAATCTTCTCCTTAGAAAAGAGCTGCTTGGCTTCTACACGTCTGGGTGATTTTCAGTTGAAGGGATACTTCTGACACTCTCTTCTGTGTTTGTCATGTGCTCCTCTTTTCTCACAGTTATGTGTATAACGTTGCAGATAATAAATGTCTACGCAAGTCTTTTAAAGTGATGATGTTCAGGGCACCAAAACCACAGTGGACCAAAGTGTCAAGTTTTAATGGAGCTCCTGTCAGCATTTTCTAACACTGTATGTCTGTTCAGTTCACCACCTAACCATCAGTAATACATACTTAATCAAAGCAGATGTGCAGATTAAACGCTAGATTACACTATAAGTAAAATAGTGTAAATGGCTAAATAACCATCAGCATTATTAGGTTATTACTTTTGTGTTTCAGATGTGAATGTGCTTCCTGTATTTAAAAAAAAAAAAAAATGAATCATCAACTCACACTGCTTTTGCATTTAAAATATTTATTAATGCTTTTGACAAAACAGCAATCTTCTCTAAACAGCTGATATTTTGATTGACTTAATTAATCAATACTTAATCAATCCTTTACTTTGCACATTTTGTACTTAATGCAGGACCTTAGAGGACTTCCTGGGAAATATCCTTTGATGACCATATTTTTCCCTATTCTGCCAAGTTGTCTACACATTCTCCAGAAGAATAGGGTGGGACTGCATACAGAATTTATTTTCTAAGACAGAAAACAAAAAAATAAGATTTTAATAAAAAGTAAACTTTTCATCATCAGTGTAGACAATGTAAGACACATAAATACATTTCTTCACATTTTCTGGGAATAGTTTCATAAACAAAGTAAATAACAGAGCTGTAACCATAATATGGCTAATAATACCAAGATATATCCCAGGAGGGGTTAGCAAACACATTTATAAACATTATTTTATCTTCCCTTTTAAATGAATAGGAGTTTAAATTCATTGTGTTTTCAACAAACAAAAATAAAAAAACAGGAATTCAGGAATAAAAGTAATATTTACCTTGTCAATTACAGCGTTTATAATGGGTATATATGTCTTTATCATTTTCAAACATATACAACATTTTATGGCCATCTAGGAGGAGAAATAATAAGGGATGGTTATTAAGAAAATCCTTGATAGAATGTATACTCCACACTAATGTCCTCCGAACTTCACCACAGGATTATTTTGTACATAATTTTTACTTTTAGCGTGAGAGATGACAACATTCTTATAGATATATCCATTTTATTACCTTGGCATTACACAGATCTTCCCTGTTGTCATAGAAGGTGATTGGCTGTAACGTCTCACGACTGGCCTCATATGGAGAACTTTCAGCAGCAGCTGCACAAAATATAACATCATAAATGTATATAATATAACTACTGTACATTATAATCTTACAAAATGCTGACAAAATGAGATTCTGATTTAACATTCCACTGAAGTTAATCAGATCAGATAAATGAGTCAAAGCAGTACTAAAATATTACCAATATCTTACCAAAGAGAATCAAGAAAGATCCAACGATACAGGCTAGATACATTGTTCTATAAGAGCACTCTAACCTCGTTTTTTTCCTTCTTGGTTTTTCTGATATGAGCACAGACAAAGCTGCTAAATGTAGGTGTTAAGCAAAGTAAGTTGAACCCTCCTCTAACCCTGGACCAACCGTTCATTTGTTCTAGCGATGTAACAAAAGTATTCAGTTGCTTCTTGTTGCTGATCTCTATCATTGAATACAAGTTTACAAGTCAATTTCTGTGTTAAACCTCATGGGTCTGGAACCGCAGTCCTGATAGTTCAATGCTAATTACCCAAGGTCAGAAACTTCAACAGTGTTCAAAGTGCATTTTATATTAGCATCCTATACACCCAAAAGTTCTATTCACTACTTTTTTTTTCCTTTTCTTTTTTTAAAGCTTGACAGCCCTCTGGTCCCCATTTTCATTCATTGAATGGAAAAGAGCAGCGTTCAGATCCTGACTAACATCTCATAAATAGTAAATGTCAGATTTTTTTTGCTAAATTGACTACATTTTAAACTATTCTAAACAGCAGCTGAAAAACTCTCTAGGGCTGATAAAGCATTACAATGTCCAGTTACCTGAGGGCAACTGTTTGACTAAGAATGGTGAGGAAACAAAAATGATCAAGTCTAAATTAGTATTTAAAAATATTTTTACTGAATTTATTTGGTAACACTATCATAACTTTAATAAATCATTAAACATTATATAATGCTTAACAGATATTTAGTTATATATTCACATAAATATGTGATAATGCTCTTGTTAATGTGCACTAATTAACTTCAACATTAAATGATGATCTGTTAATCATTATGTAATGTAAATTGAAATGCTTACAAATGTCATTAAACTTTCCATTCATAATATGATCATGCACATTTTTAAATCTACAAATTATTTTGACAGATGGTTTACAATTTGTCACTGAAGGCGAGTTGCTGAACCCATGTGGAGTTTATTAAACAAAATACGTGAACAAAACAACCAAGGACAGGACAGGACAGGACAGGACTTGACTTGACTTGACTTGACTTAAGGTGGGCATAGGCTACACTGTGCGTTTTTCGTCCGATTTTGAGCCGAATTCTGACTCGTGCGACTCTTTTTCGGATCGGGCCGATTATCAGCTTTGGCGTGCGTCGTTTGTTGTACAGTGTACAGGGAGAAACGAGAGGCGACTAACCTCTGCCGACCAGCAATCGGATGGTCGGATAAATTTCTGGCATGTCAGAAATTTTGGTCACTCCTTGTGACTATATGAGCCATTCCAAAAGGGTGACATTTCTGACCCCAGGACATATATGTATAAAAATGCATGAAAATTAACTCTACATTTTATTATTAATCAAAATGTCCTGCACATAAAGCTAACTACAAATTTAAAATGTATAATTAAAAACATTAATAAAAACTACATAGAACACAAAAAAATAGCATTTTCTGCATGACCCCCCTCTCTATCTCTAAACTTTACTATGAAACATAATGATTAAAATCCTTCAGAAAAATTAAAAAAAATTGCATTGTGTGACTTTATATCCAACCTATGCTTTAAAATGTTTTTTTTTTTCATGAGAAAAAATATTTTATCTAATATTTTAGATAAAATACAAATTTTAGTTGTGTCCCCGGGTTTTCACTCAGTCCTGTTACCCTAACACATCCCCCTCTGAAAAACTTGGAATATTCCACAAGACACATTTTCAACAGGAAGTCATCTGGATCTTCTGAAGGCAATGGGGAGACCATAAGTAAGTCCTCACAATTTAATTTTTGGATATTTGATTAAATTGTAACTATGACTGAGAAGGTCAATCTCAACATGCTGTACTGTTACCTAAATTATTTCTTAGATTTTATTAATTTATTTTAAAAATATTAACTTTTGGTAAGTCACTTGCAATGTGTCCTTATGGCCACATACTAGCATACATGCTAATAGCATATGTCATGTATTTGATAAACTTTTGCTTAACTCAATCCTGTTACTTATATGAAAAATAACAGAAGTGAGTTAAAGTAACAGGAGGGAGTAGAGTCCTCTGTTTTGTTGATTTAATACTGTAAATATTAGTTGATACAATACTATTCACCTGAATTATGAGGTTTAATGTTGCAATTTATAGACATTAGCATTAGTTTTACAATGTGAACACCATAC